CCGAGCTCCAGCGCGCTGTCGTCCTGCGCCTTGGCCGCGAACAGCGACGCCGTCAGGCCACGCATCAGGGGCGGTTTCTGGTCAAACGTGACCAGCTTCCTCGGGCGTGATGTTTCGCGCGCAGGATGCGGATCCGCGCCGATGTCACCGGCCTGCGGCGATCGAGGCTCGGCCAGGGGCGAGTGCGCCGTAGCGGACCAGGGGCGTTGCGACGAGGTGCGCTGGGGCGCCAGCAGCGCGCGCGTGCTGCCGGGCGAGCTGCTCTTGTTCGACACCGCCTGGACCAGCGACGGCGTCTGGATGCTGGCAGGTCTGCCGTCGCCATCGAGAATCGGCGAGACGGACTTGAGCCCGGAGAATGTGGATGTAGCCGCCGTCGGTGCCGTCGCAGCCACCAGTTCAGGCGCCGGTCGTGTTGCCAGCGACATCGACTCGGGCGAAGCGACAGGCCTGGCGACCACGGCAGAATCACTGGCAGCGTCCGAGGCCGCTCGCCTCCGCGGCACGACGTCGTCGCTGGGCCGGCGGAGCAGTGCGTGGGTCAGCTCCGGAAACCTGTCGTCGGCTTCGATGGGAGGGTCGGGATGCGTCATCGCCTCGGCCCTCGTCATCCGGTGCGAGGTTCCGTCCTCTTCAGAGTAGGAGAGAGCGTCGGTGAAGCGGGAGGCTGCCTCGGATGCGCTGTCCGCGGTCCTGAGGCTCGATGACCTCTGCCTCACGAGCGGTGGCTGGAGGTCGCGCCGCTGGGGCCGCGCCGGCGCCGTGGTGGCATCGCTCGCTGCATCGGCCGCTTCGGCGCGCTGGCTTCCGGACCGCGCCATGGACGACAACGGAGCTGTGAGCGCCGAGGCGATGTCCTTCCATCCCTGCCGAGACTCGATGTCGAAGGAGTCTTCCGGTCCGCTGCGATCCTGCGAGATCGAGATGATCGAGGCACGCAGCTCGTCCCTGGGCCTCCTGACGGCCAGCAGCCGATCTGCCGCCGAATCGGAGCTGGCGCCGGACGCCTGGCGCTCCTTGGCTGCAGCGAGGTCGGAGCCTTCGCTCGTATCCCTGCGAGAGTGTCCGTTCGGCGGCTGGCTCGGCGCCTTTCGCGCTTCTTCGACCCTCTTTTCTTCCTTCGCGTCCGACCTTGCCCGCTCCTGGGTGGCGTCACGCGCCTCGGCGGCCATGAGCGAGATGACGGCAGACGGGCTGCGGCTGCGGCTGCGGTCCTTTGCCTTTCCTGGCCCGGGATCGTCGGCGGGGTCGATGGCTTTCTCCTCGGCGCTGTGTGGCGGCGAACGGCCCTCTTTCGTCGCGGAGGTCGTGCCAGCGAGCGGCTCGGACGTCGATCCTGCCGTAGCCGCCGCGCTTGTTGCCCCGTGTCGGCAGGGCTCGCGCTCGACAATCTTGGCTCTGCGCTCCTCGAGGATGTCGAGCAGGCGGCCACCGATCTCGAAGCTGCCGCCGATCCACTTTGTCCCCCCGCCGCTGGTCCCCACCGCTCCTGCCGGCACACCCCCGAGGCTGCTGGCCTTCGAATGGCGCCCGCCGTGCGAACTGCTAAACATGCTGTCGGCGCTGAGGTTGCGAGTGCGCCGCCGCCCCGTCGAGGCGAAGCTCGGGTCGCGCTCGAGCCCCCTCTGTCCGACGGCACCAGAGAAGGACCTGGAGCGCAGAGGGGCCAGGTCAGTGTCGACGCTGTCGGTCCGCGCGCGGCCGAGGGTCCCACGAGACCGCCTCGTCGAGCCGCCGCGGGTCGGCTTTGGCCGCCGGAGGCTGTTGCTGGCAAAAAACGTCTTCGAGAAGCGGTCGCGGATGCTGCCTGCGACGCCGAAGCTGCCCTCGGTGGCATTGGTGCCCATCGTGTTGAAGGTGCCGACCGTCGAGGCGCGGCTCATCCTGCTCTGCCTGGAGTAGTCTCGGGCGTGGACGCCCGAGGCGTGCAGGGGCAGACGCCGCGTGGCCGTTGCCTTGCTGTTTGAACCTGAGCCAGGAAAGCCAAGGCGTGCTGCCGTCGCCGCACCCGCCGAGGAGGGCAGGCCCAGGCCGACGCCGCGCTGCGCTGTGCGGACTGCGTCAGGCCCGTCGCCCGTCCCGTCGTGGCTGGCGACGTCGACGCTGGCATCGACCGTTTCAGGTGCACTTCGAGCAGCGGCATCTCCCTCGAAGCTGACGTCGGGCTGGCCAGAGAGCCCATGCAGGGCCAGCCTGGCGCCGCTCGCGCGCTGGAGGGTGGATTGTGGCGAGCCCGAGTTCCAGGAGCCCCTCGTCGGCGGACGCTGGCCGCGGTCGACGTCCAAGAAGTGGGTGCTGAGCGATGTTCTGGGCTTGAAGCGGTCCAGGATGGTCTCGTCGCTGCCGTCGAGCTCGTGGGCGCTCACCGAGCTCTTGGAGGGCGAACGCGCGAAGAGCGAGGGGGTGAGGGCCCTCCGCTTGCCCTTGTCGATCCTCTCGTCGGCGCTGGGCTGCAGCGAGCTGCGCATCGACGATGTCAAGGAGCGGTTCGGGTCCTCGAACGAAAGCCGCCGTGCCGTCGAGGGTGCGCCGCCAGGGGTCAGGTGGGCCGCGTCGATGGAAGTTGCAGTGGCCGGAATGTCCAGATCGCGAGGCTCGGTATGGACGGCGGACGAAGAGGCAAACGCGGGCGGGGCCTCGTCCTGTGGCGAGGCGGCCGACTCATCGGCCTCTCGGACGGGCAGGTCGAGCAGCGGCAGTGGTTTCGACTGGCCGTTGCTCGACTCCCACATGTGGTGTCCCGCACGGAGGCCTAGGCCTGAGCCTTCGAGCCGGACCCTGGCACGGTCCTCTGCGCTGGCGGACCGGAGCCGATCAGGACGGGCCGCAGCGTCGGCAGGCCTACCCAGGCGTTCGTGGTCGGGTCCGCTGGCGGCCTGGCCGCGGTCGCTGTGTATGGATCCGGCACTGGCGACCCTGCGGATGCTCCGCGACTCTGCAGCTGCTGGCACCTCGAGGGTGGCAGCATGCACGCCGCGGGCGGTGGCGATGCCGGATTCCGAGCCTCGACTGGCGGGACGAGCTTGGCCCATCGACGAGGGCGACTTCCAGTCGATGCCCAGGTTGCCGGCAGCCGAGTGCTCCCTGCGAAACAAGCGCCGGTCCCGCTTGCCCGGCGAGCGTGGAGATAGCAAGGCCCTCAGCGGAGACGACGAGCCCGAGCCGTCGCGGCTGCTGGCGTTCGAAGCTGCGCTCCCCGCCCGAGCATCGGACGGTGCGCGGTCGGCTGCGTCGGCCTCGCTGAAGACGGAGCGTGGCAGCGAATGGGCGCTGGCAAACGAGACGTTGGAGGCGACCGAGACGTTCGAGGGGTCCCGGATGGGTGGGCGTGGCCTGGCCTTGTTGGCGAAGGCTGCGACGCCCGCAGGCGCCGATGCTGGCACCAGCGAGTGCGGGTCGACGCTCTCGTGGTCGATGCGCAAGGCGGGCGGGAGCGAGTCGGAGGCTGCCGAGGTCGGCCGGAAGGAATCCCGCCACCGGAACTGCACCGCGTCGGGAGGCCCTCTGCCGTCCTGGTCCAGCCGACGAATGTCTGCTCCTTGATCAGCCTCATGCCCTCGCCGTCCACCGGTCGCATCCGTCTGCCCAGGCTCCGGGCCTTCCCGGTCAGTGGTTGCAGCGGCAGCAGTATCCCGTCGATCCCGATCTGGAGGCTCGTCTGGCGAGTGTGCTGCTGCTGCTGCTGTTGCTGCTGCTTCGCTGGCGTCATCGGGCCTGCCGGTCGAAAGTTGGAGCTGGTCTGCGGCTAGTTGGCGGGCAGCAGCGTTAGCTCTGGCAGAGGCGACGGGAGACGGGCCGACGTAGACGCGGCGCAAGGTCTGGGTGGTGTGAAAGCCGTCGCAGCCCGACAGCCTGATGGGCTGGCACTTGAGACAGGAACGCTGCGGCGCGCTGGAGGCGGCGGCAGCAGCAGCCGGAGCCGGAGCCGGAGCCATGGCGGGTCGCGTTCCGACGGTCGGGCCGTAGGCTTTTGCGGGCGGAGCCTTGTAGACCGCCTAGACGGAGCTGACCGCAGATGCGCGGAGAACAGGACGAGACGAGATCATTGCTTGCTTTGTGGCGTTGATTGCGAGTGCGGGCGAGCGAGTGTGAGTGCAGCTGGACGGAAAGCAGGGCAGTGTAGAATGGCGTGACGGGTGGCAAGTCCTAGAGAACGGTCGGTCGGTCGGTAGCAGCAGCAGCTGGTGAGGAGAAGGAGATAGAAAAGGGACGGCCCTGCCGAAGATCAGCCGTGGGCCAGAGTGTCGGAAATAGGCCGGTGTTGGGGGTGGTGGTGGTGGTGGTGTTGGTGGGGGGCGTGATGGATGTGGGCCGGCGGGTTGGCAGCCAGACGGGCAGCCAGCCAAAAGCTAAGGCGGGAGAGCTGCACGCGCTGCCTGGCATTCATGCACGCTCTCGCTCTGCCCCGAGAGCTACGTTAGCACGCAGGCCGACCGCCGATCCCTCGTCAGGGGCTCCTCTCCCCGGCCCCGGCCCGGGCCCGACCCAACGATGCCGACCGACGCGGCTAGGCCGGTAGCTCCACACGGGCCCACCAACTCGCGCTCTCTCTGCCAATCTAAGAATCGCCGACGACGTCCAGCTAGGGAGAGCCTCCGCCATCTTTGGGCAACCCCCTCGCCCTCGCCCTCGCCTTCGACGCTGCACGACGAGCCCGCCACTCATTGCGGCCCTCGGTGCAACATGCCGCGCTACCGCCACCGCCCGTCCTGCTTGCGCCTTTCATTTCTCGCTCGCATCGTCGCACCGCCGTTAGACGACGTGGCAGCCAAGATACGCGACCGGACGTTGAGTTGGCTCTCTTACCTCTCGCGTCATGCATCCTTCGGGCGAAGACGGAACGCAGTAGTGGCGGTCTGGGACGGGAATGATTGGCGTTCAGACCGGGAGAGCCGGACCGGTCGCGACAAGGGCGGGCAGGCCGATGGCGGCAGCAGCGTAATTTAGGTATAATCGTCTGTCAGAGTGGCAGCAGGATGCGATCCAGTCACAACGAGGCTGCGATGCCAGCAGGAAGGCTCTTCGCCCCAAGCCACAGGAGCGACGGCCGAGTGGCGCCATCCGACCATCGAGCCCACAGCCAGCCGACGGTGAGCGAGGAGAGGGAGCAGGCACCACCCGCACGGAGCAGGAGCGCAGGCCGGGGTATACGCCCCGTTGCGACTCGCCGATGGCCACCTTCACAGGCCCGTTTCCATAGATCCGCCCACGCCGCTGCCGTCGAGGGGATGTAGAAGAGTCACATTTGTCTAAGCCGGGGGGTTCGGCTTGGTATCGAGCTGCTCGCGCTCCTGGAAGAGGAGCCAAGTGCCGCTCCGCTACAATCGACGGCGCATCCTGGCGACCGAGAGCTGGACGGGAAACCGACGGGCACGCACGCGAGTTTCAGCTCGGCGAAGCGCGTGCATCGCCGCGACCGGCACCGGTGTCGAGTTCGAGGTCGGCAGCGTCGCCGTGGCGGCTGCGGTCGCCCCTGGTGGTTGTGGCCAGTGAGTCGAAGTCCATCGACCCGCGCAGCTTGCCCAGCTGCAGCGAGTGGAAAAGCAGCGACACGCACAGAGCCATGTAGTTGGCCGCCAGCAGGCACGGCATCTCGAGCGCCTCGAAATGGTTCGCCTCGTACTGGGGCGTGCAGAGGATGCTGACGGCCAGCGCTACGCCACACAGGAAGAGGCTGGCGCCGGCCATCAAGACCCATTGCAAGATAAACTCGACAAGAAGCTTCTGAAGAACGCGATGATATCGGCGGTCCGGAACCTCGACTGTCGCCACGGCCGCGCTGCGGCACGCGCAGCCAAGCTGGATCGGCGGAGCAGCATCGGACGAGCTTGCCGTGCCCTCCGTCGGCTGAGCGCGCTGACCGGCCGAGTCAGAGTGCTGAGGCTCGGCAAGCTTGACGTCGTCGCAAGTGGTGCCGCTGTAGCTGGAGGTGATGGGAGACGGGGCCCGCTGGCCGAGAGGACCTTGTCGAGCTTCTGGCAACGGAGTCGTCCTGCATCGCATCGGCGTCGTGTGGCAGGCCGACAATCTCATGGCCTGGACCGCGATCTGGGAACGCATGAACGAGGTGATCGCGTTCCCAGACATGATGATGGCCGCGGCGAGGACAAAGGCCGAGACGGCCCATAGCGCAAAGGCCAGCGCAGCGTACCGGCTCGAAGCGACGATGGCATACCACACCTGCTGCGCTTGCAGCAGCATCTCGCGGTCGAGGTCCTTCGACGAACCCCAGCGCTCCTCCCAGGCAACGTGGGAGGCGAGCGCCGACTGCCAGCGCCGGTCGGCCAAGCAGATGGGGACCATGAGAAGGGCCCAGTGCGTGACGGGGGCACCTAACATGGCGGCATTGATCGCCCACGCCTCGAGGCCGTGCCTGCGCACGACTGTCCGCTGGCTGGACCGCCGAGAGAGGTCAGACGTTGCCGAGGCGCGAGCACGGGGTCGGACGTAGACCCACCCGACCACGTAGAAGTAGACGGCCCAGGCGAGGGGGAACCAGGTGGCGGTGAGCCAGATCCACATGCACTTGACCGGCCGACGTTCCTGTGCAGAGACCACGAATGTCCAGATGCTGAGGGAGATCAGGGCCGGTGCCGTGGCGGTGCAAGCGTGCGAACATACGAGGACGAGGAGACGCGGAGGAGGTCAGAGATCGAGGCGTGGATGCTGCTTATACACGGACGACCGCTCGGCGAAGGGGCGGCACTTTCTTTAAGGAGACTCACAGTGCGAGATGGCATGTGCAGAAGACGGTGCCGAACGCCGTGACAACAGTGATGGCCTCAGGCACGATCAAGACGCCATAGGGCCGCTGGATGCGACGGAATAGCGAGAATGGCGTCCTGCGTGCTCGGAGGGCGAGTTGTACGACATGCGTGCCGATCAAGACCGCGCTGATGCTGGCGATGACTTTCAGCTGGATGCGCACCCCGGGCGAGAGTTTGGGCGCGACGCAGTCGATGAGGAAGCGGCGCAGCTCCTCGACGGGCGCCGCAGAGGCGGGAAAGTCGGGCAGCCATGCGCGCTGCGACTCGTGCGAGCGCGCCAGGGACCAGACGGTCAGCGCCGGGGGAGGTGGAAGGTCGAAACGATCGTGGAGAGCCTTGTAGGTCATGGTCGCCAATATCCCGACGTCTCTTGGCCTCGAGCTGCTTTGGCCGTGCAAGTTGCGGGGTGGTGGTGTGGGATGGTGCCAGGATGGAAGCCAGCCGGCCGAACGGACTGCGAAGCGGCAGGTGATGCGACCGAGAGGGGAGAGTGAGAGCGAGGGGGGACAGGTGGTCACACCAGCAGCAACGGGGCAGGGCAACTCGTGCTTATAGTCGAGGGGCGCTCGCTGCAGCGACCGACGTCCATCGCCAGGGATGGGTCGTTGACCTCCCCTCGGCTGCCACAATGGCGACACGCCGCCTCTCGGTGGCTCCCCTTGCGAGGCGACAAAGGCATCGCCCCGGTTTCTCGTCGTCGTCGTGGTGGTGGTGGTGGTGGAAATGGGTCTAGAGGCGAGACGAGACGTGGTCGAGCATGGTTCGGCGATTGTTGCCACAGCATGTTGGCCTCGCATCGTCCATGGGCGAGACCGATGCAGCCTTGGCCTGGGTCGACGTGTCGCTCCTCAGTCCGAGGCAGAATTGGGTCAGTCTGGCGCAAACGGTGCCGCTGGCAAGCATCAAGGCACCAGACGGACGGCGCGTCCTCGGGCTAGTCGCTCAGGAGCCTTGAGAGAGCAGCTCTGGCTGCGTTCCTCCCTGGGTCGGATTCGATCCGGCCTTCTCGCAAGAGCCCATGGCGGATTCCGTGCATACGCACCTTTGATGCGAAACAGCAAAGCACCGGGCGGCCTGTTCGCGTCTAGGATCCCGCCCTTTCCTTTGCTTCACATGCTGTGCTGAATGGATGTGCCGTGAAAAGAGGACCGTGTACCGTTTGTCTGAGTGCGGCTCCGCGACCATGCCTTCGAGCGGCTTTGAAAAGACGTTACCGTGCCGAGTAGGGCCGCGTTCTATTAAGGTCGGTAGGTACAGGAAAGATGGCCCGGGAGCATCGCCGACAAAGGGCGAAAGGCAGCGAGAGAAGGGGACAGACCGGGAGAGAGGGTGAAAGACGAAAGCAAGGAAAGGGTCAGCTGTGCGCGCTGCGCTTCTACTCATCTGGTACCGTCTAGGTCCTCGAGGACGCTCCTGAAAAGCTGCAGCGTGGTCCTGATGCCGAGCAGCACGCCTTCGTCGGGCCCTTGGCCCTCGACAAGCGTGGCGTGGGCAAAGTCAATGACCCTGAGGTCGACGAGGCGCTTGGCTCCGTCGCGCTGCGGCAGGCGGCCGGTCGAGATGGTCCTTGGCTGCGGACCCAGCCCCTGCTCGAGGCCCTCGGCGGAACCCTCGTAGACGAGGAGCAGGCTGCCGCCGCGCATGCGGATCTCGAGCTGGCTGAAGATGTCGACGAGCTGCTCCAGAGCCGGCAGGATCGACTGTTCGATGAGGGTCCGCATCGCGGCGGGTGGCAACTCCGGCAGGTAGAGGCCGGACTCGTCCTTGACCAAGGCGGCGTCGATGGCGTCGCCGTCGGCGGGGGGTGGCGGCAGGACGCGTACGCGGCTCGATCCGGCCAGGATCGACTCGGCCCGTTGGGCGTCGCCGGCCTTTGGTGAAGCCAGCAGCATGCGGGCGCCCAGGATGAGGTCGGGCGCCTGCACAGTCTTGCCAAACGTCTTGGGGACGGTGTGGTAGGTCGACGTCTGGTTGTCCCACACCTGTGCGCGCGACGAGGGAAGGGGAGCGTGAGTCGGGGATCGGTAGAGCAGGACCGTCTCAGCAAGGGCCCCTGTACGGAACAATCACGCTACGCAGTGGCCGCCTATATGGCCTCAGCAGCTGCGGGCGCGGGCCCCCGGATGCACAGCGCGACTCACCTGCCAGCCCGTCAGCCGCAGCCCACACATGCCGCTGGTGGTGTTCTGGGAGGCCAGCTGCATGCGTTGTCGCTTCTCGTCCGAGGCGTCGTCGTCGTAGAGCTGCGTCCCGAGCTTGATGTCGCAGACGTTGGCCTTGTCGTAGCTGCAGGTGAGGTTCTCGAGGACGATGCGCGAGGGCGAGGGCGGCCGCCGCTGCTCGGCCGCGGCATCTCGGTTTGCGCCGGGTGGGCCGTCGTGGTGGGCGGCTAGGTAGTCGTGCCAGCTGCCGTGGAACTCGGGCATGAAGTGGCTTAGCCTGGTCAGCAGGTGCTCCTGCTTGCTCGGAGAGCCCGCCGATTCGGAAGCGGCCCGGTCCACGGCGTGGTAGAAGTCGAGCTCCTGCGCCAGGCACTCCTTGACCACCAGCTTGCCGTCCTCGAGGCTCTGCACGCCCGCCGGATGGCCCGCCACCTGGTTCGAAAGCGGCGCAAGCTTCAGCTGGCTGGCATCGACGCCTACAGAGGCAGCGAGGGCGGCCGTCATCTTGCTGCTGCCGCTAGAGCAAAGGCTGTGGCCGAGCGTCGTGGTGGTGGTGGGTGGAGGAGGACAAGGAGGAGGGGGAAGGATGTATAGGGGAGTGAGGTCTAGCAGCAGCGGCAGCAGCAGCCTGTGCAGCGCGAGTGGCGATGGCGATCAAAGCTACGGCGGCGGTGGCGGCGGTGATGACGTGCGTGAGCGTAGTTAGGAGGAAGGAAGCAAGCCCGGAGCGATGCCCGACGAGCTGCAGCGGTGGGAAGGCCAGCCAGCAGCTAGGCCTCGCTCGCTGCCAAGCTGTGCTGCAGCTTCTTTTGTCGACCCGGCTCGGATGTTCCGCCCGCGCAAGCTCGCTCGCAAGCCTGATCTCATGCCAGCTTGCTTCCATCCTTGTCGGGACTTAGCCTGCCGAGGCCAGCCACGGTTGCACGCAAGAGATGTCGCAGCCTGCCAACGTTCGATGTTGTCGTCGTATTGTCGTTGTCGCCGTCGTCTGGGTCGGCTGGTTCTTCCGGCTGGGGCAACAGCTAGAAGGCCTGGCGAAGTCGCCCATGCAGCATGTCCGTGCGCGCTCGGCGTGGTCCAGGGACAGGCGGGCGCCGACGTGCCGTGCGCTGTGGTGCTGCCGCGGTGGTGCCTGAGCGGGTCAACCCTTTTGCTCGTTTGGGTGGCTTTGCAGGCCTGGCTCCGCGTGCCCCGCTGGCTCGACGACCTGGCCACTGGTGCCTCGTTGATCCTTAGCTTCTGCTCCATCTGCTGTCATCCGTCCCTCTGCTTCTGCCTCTCTGCCTCCTTCTCACGCCCGCCCTGCCGTCTCCCCGTCGTCTTCGGCCTCTGCCTCTGCCCGTCGGCGCGGTATCACGATCGCAGCCTGGCTCGTTGTCCACCGTCGCCGGACCTGCGCAGACGCACCACCGCATCCCGGCCATCCTGCGCGTTGCACACGCAACGCTCCTTCTTGCCTCGCTCTTCACCTCTTCCTCTTCGCCGTCCAAAACGCACAGACGGCCAACAAGGGGCGGCAAAGAGAGCCAGCAAGTCGCCCTCCGCCCTCGCCCACCGTCGAGGCACGCCTCCTCCAGGGTGTGTCGTCGTCCCCGTCGCACCGCGGCCGCTTCGGTCGAGCCCAACAGAGAGGAGATAAGAGGATCGGCTCTCCCGCCTTTCAGCCTCGTGCGGCCTCGCCCTCTTTCCTCCGTCCGCCCGCCTCTGACGAGGACGCTGCCGTGAACCGACCTCTGTCGCAGAACCGCCGCAACTGCCACCGCCATCGCCATCGCCCATCCCCTCGGCCCGACGCAGCTCGATGGCCGATACCCCACCCACCGCCCAGCTCGACACCGGGCTGCGCTTGGACCAGCCCACCAAGCCGGTCCAGCGTCGGTCCGCACTCGCCTGCCTCCCCTGCCGCTCGGCCAAGAACAAGTGCGACGGACAGGCACCGCCGTTGGCCGTCGAATACTCGGCGTCCCAGGCGCTCAAGGCCGCGCCTTCGGACGACATCCCTTCCGACGCGCCGTGTACCCGCTGCAGGCGACTCGATCTGCGCTGCCTCTGGCAGCCCTCGCACCGCACGGGCAGGCCAAGGAAGAAGCGCAGGGCGTCGGAGACGAGAGACGACTTCGGATCCGCCGGCATCGGCCGTGCCGGCTTAGGTGCCGGCGCCGGCGCCGCCGGTAGCTCCAGCAGCCCACACCATCGCCTCGGATCGCACACGACTGCATCCGGCGAGGCCCTGCGCCCGACGTTGCCCCCGGTCGACATCACAGGGCCCGAGATCTTTGCGCTGCTCAACACGTCGCCCTATGACTCGACCGAGTCGTCGTACAGCGCTCTGGACAACGAGCAGTACGACGAGAGCGACCCAGGCCTAACGGACGAGTCGGCCAGCTTCGACGCCTCGTCGGTGCAGCCGTCTCCCCCGAGCGGCGTGGCGGCGTGGTCCGCCACCACTGCGCCTGCGACGGCGACCATGGCACCTCCTTCCGCAGGCGGCCTGCAGCTGCAATCTGCCTTTGACGCCGACCATCCCATCGTCCAGGAACGACCGTCGAAGCGTGCCCGCGACCAGTTCTCGATGCTGCGGTCTCGCATCGGCGTGGGAGTCCGCCAGGAGAGGATGCTCGAGATCAACTCGTCGCCTCCCAGCCTGTGGCCCGAGCTGCCGCCCGAGTTCCTCGGCCACGAAACGGACCTGCAGCGAGGGTGAGTGTTGTCCTGGATTGAAGCGGCGGCGCCGACCGTCCTCCGCCCGTTCTGGACCCGCGCGGCATTCGCAACACAGTCCGCTGACGCCTTCCCTTGCGCCATCCTCCATCTCTGACCCGTTGTTGACGACGCCGCCGATGACACGATCGACCCGGATTGCCACCGCTCGACAGCCTGCGGCTCTACTTCAGCGGCTTCGGCCTGTCCGTGCCCATCCTCGGCGAGGAGGAGAACTTCTTCGCTGCGAGGTTTGTCCAGATGCCGGAGCTGTCGCCCTCGCCGCTCGTGCTGCATGCCGCGGCAACGTTGGGCCTGCTGCTCGAGGAAGGCAAGGACGCCGTGTCGGTGGACGCCATGCGCGCGAGGACCAGGGAGCTGGCCGACGTCACCGTCGAGCGGTCGAGCGCCCTCCACGACACGGACCTGGCTCGGTTGCTCTCGGCCATCCAGGGCCTCATCCTGGTGGCGTACGACGACTATGGCCGGACGCAGCTGCCCGCCGCCGCCCGCTACATGCGCGCCGCGTGCGATCTGGCGCTCCGTGCGCACCTCAACCTGCTCGACAGCGGACGGGACTTTGCCGCGCCCCACCATGGCGATCCGGGGCAGCCGGGCGGCCATCGACGCGTCTCGTTCGCGGGCATCGGGAGCAGTCGGTCCTTCACCCAGGACTTCCTGCAAGATTGCCGACGGACCTGGTGGGAGGTGAGTCCGCCCTGGCTCGAGGCCAGAAGGGGCGCTGCTTGACGTCGGATCTACGGACTCGCGCGCTCACACTTCCTCCTACACCTGGCTCCTGCACCGCACGCCCCCTGTGCCTCCGTCTTCCAGCTCTACATTGCTGATCTCATGTTCCACATGACGACGAGCGGCAGGCTGCAGAGGATCCTCACCGATCGACGGATGGTGGTCGCCGTCAATAGCCCTCGGGATCCTGGAGATGTGAGAAGCGCCCCCCTCTGCGGATGCCGTCGTCCGACCACGGTCCGCCACTTTTTCCCTGGCTGACGGCGTTCCGCCCTTCAACCTGACTCTCTGCACCTCTGTCCACCTTCCTCTTTCCTTGCAGCGGGAGCGCTCCGAGGCCTACGACATCCGCATCCGAGCTGCGGCCCTGATCAACGAGTGCACGAGGCCACCCGCCGATCCGCGCAACCCGGACCTCGGCCGCCTCCATGCCGTTGACACGATGCTGAGCAACCTTCTCCTCCAGGGCCAGTCGCTCTGGGCCGGGATCGCGGCGAGCGTGTCGAACCCGAGCCAGCAGATGCGCCCAACGCCGATGGTCCAGACCAAGCTCGAGATCATCTTCACCTCGTTGGTCGTGATGCATGCGGCGCGCATCCATCTCCACCGCCAGGCGTGGTTCTCGGACTTGCAGATGGACCTCGAGTCGTGCTCGTTCCGGCCAAAGCACAGGTCGGGCACCGTCGAGCCGACGCCCTCTTCTGCGGCCGGCGCCGGCCGACTAGCCGTGATCAGCGACGAGGCGCGGCGCGACTACATCGCCAGCAGCGTCTCGACCATCGTCTCAGTGAGTTCAGATAGCGGCATCGTGAAGGCATCTTGCCAGCCTTGTGGAACGTCGGCACTGACCCGGGATCCACCGCCTCGACTTCTCTCGACTTGCTATGCGGCCTAGTGCTCCGACGGCATTCTGCGGCTGATCCGTCTGGATGCAGAGATGCACCTCGACCTGGCGATGACGCGGCCCTCGGTGTTCGGCGCGCCGCCACCGCCGTCGAGCCCAGTACCGCCACACTGGCCGTTCTTTGCGTGCTGCAGCATGGTGGCCTCGTTCGGATACGCCGTCGCGGTGGCGGCGAGCGGGCCCGAGCACTCTGCGCTGCCGAGCTACCGGGACGAGATCCGACTGCGCATGGGTGATGGGAGGGGATCGGCAGGCCAGGCCGGCGCGGTCCCCCCCGTTGTCGACTACTCGATCCATGGCGCCAATGACCCGACAATGGACTCGCTCATCGCCCACTGGGGCCAGCCACAGGGGCATGGGCATGGCCAGCGGCTCGGCGATGGGTGCATGGGGCCCGCCTCGTCCCCATCGCAGCCTTCGTTGTCGCCTTCCTCGTCGTCGCCGGCGCCGGCTCCAGCGCCTCCGTCGACCTCGTCTGCAGCGTCGCAGTACGAGCTGGTGCAGGAGCAGAAGCGCCGCGACGAGGAGGCCTACATCTGGAAGACGCGGGCGGCGCTGAGCAACATCAGCTTTGCCGAGACGACGCTGTCGCTCTACGCCACCATCTGGCCAATGGCGGCCGTCTACCAGGCCGAGGTGCGCAAGTGCAAAGGGGCCGTCAACCTCAGCAGCATCTGCGGCGGCGGCGGCGGCGGCGGCGGCCACTTCTGAATCGCCGCCGGCCATCACTTCTTCTGTCACCGTGGGCGAGCCCAAGCAGCTCTGCCATCCCAGTATCGTGCATCCGCACAACAAGCGGGGTCCCACCATGCGCCCGATGCTCTTGTCGCTACACTTTTGCCTCTGGAACCCGCTGTCGAGCCTGCCGGCCGACAAGCCTCTGGCGGATATCGAACGATTCAAGATTGCCTCGACGACGAACGAGCTCAGTTCGCCATCTGACTTTTTGTCGGGGTCTCGAAAAGCAGGCCGGCCAGCCGGCTCTCGACGCTGGATGTGACGTCAGGGCGAGACCAGGATCGATATGCAGGAATCGCAGGCCGGCCTTTCTTGTCTTGCTCGCTCGCCTCCCTCTCTATGTCCCGCGCCGCCTTTTGGCCTGCTCGCTTGCGGCTCCGAGCGTGCATAGGGTTCCTGGCCTGCGAGCAGGTGCCTCGACGACTACCCACCCGAAGTCGTCGACAGGAACCCGATTTTTGGGGGGTGGTGGCTTGCCGGGCATCGGCAGGCGGATGCGATCCTTTCTCGGCTCAATCCTGCCCTGCTTGCCTTTGCCAAGCGGAGGCGGCTGCGTCCCGTTCCTGGCGAGCCGTGGCCATCGACGCTTCGATCCGCCCCGTGGGCACTTGATCTTGCTCAGCTTGCCTGCTGCTCTTCTGCGGTGGTCGTGCTAACTAAGCAACGCCAGCCTTGTCCAGCATCCGCCGCAACAGAGGGAGCGGGAGCGTCTTCTCAATCGATCCCAGCTCGATATCATATCGGTGAGGCACGGCGAGGGACTCGCCCGCACCCGGATAGGTAGACAGGCCAAAGGGATGGTGATGGCGATCGAAGAGGAATCTCGGGCTTTCCAGGGTGAGCCGCCGAGCGGATGAGAGTGGTCGATGGAGGCGGATGCGCGCTGGTGCAGTCACAGAGTGTAGCGTACGCGCGTGGTGGCCGTCTCACGACTTCCGAGGCAGGCGGCAAAGCCAGAACGCGCGGGAACGCCAAACCCCGCAAGCCAAGGCTGCCGCATCGTGCATAGCCCTGCATCCGCGCGCTTCCGCTTCCGCCTCTCCTCGCCAGGCCCTGCAGCTGTCAAAAGCGGCAGCCCCAACCGCGCCCCGTCCCACCTGGTCTGGTCTCGAGCTGCCGTTCCTCGATCGCCACGATGGGGCAGGGCTTCCCGGCCTACCTCTCTTCGCTCAGGCAAAGCTGCGTCCCGCGTCTCTTCGGCTCGGATCGCCGCGCAGCCAAGGACGGCCAAGAAAGCCTTCACGACAGGACGAGGTCATGGGAAAAAAAAAATCCTGGCCTGATCGACACCTTGCTCGAGCCAACTTGGCGCTGCCCGGACTTCGTCGACCGCCCTCGCCCATGGCGGCCCATCTTGTCAGCAAGTGTGGCTGCCGTTTTGTCTCATCACCCTCCGGCACCAGCACCAGCACCCGCATCAGCGACGATGCCGCTCGCCTACAGCACCTCTCTCGAGCACGAGCAGCATGGACCCCAGGGCAGGCGCTGGCTGGTCTACGCTGCCATCCGTCCTTTGTCTCTGATGCAGCGGATCGCGCACGAGGGCGGGCCTGGCAGGCTGGCCTCCTCAAGCAAAGAGCCGCGTCGCGTACAGTGCCTGACCGAGCCGAAAGGCGGGCTGCTCTCGACCGTCCATCCTGAATTCGCTTTTGGCAGGTCTAGAAAGACTCATCGCCGAGAGAGTCAGCCATCACTCGACTCTGGAATGGACTGCCCCGGCCCCCCGCTTCTCGCCGACGCCCAAGTCCCGCCCTCCCCAGCTCGAACGTGTACCTAGGCTCGCCGATGCCCTCGACGTCTTGCCATCGAAGGCGCGAGGCCGTTTATTGAACCGAAGATGATGGCGAGCAAGGTTGCATAAAGGCCAAGAAGAGCGACGACGAAGCGAGTCGAAGGCAACGCGGACGGGTGGGGACTCTCACGACCAGCCTGCACCAGGGCCCAACCAGGTCCTTTGCGGCTGAGAGCAGGCAAGGCCAAGCAGGTCAGGTCGCTAGAGCAAGCGAAAGGGTGCGTAGATCTACTAGAGGGCCGGGGAAGCGTGGACGTGGACGTGGACGTGGTGTGCGAAACCCCAGCCTTGGACCCCCGGTCCTGCCGCTCTTTGTCTGTATGCGGATCCCCCGTGAACCTCGCCCTCAGCCCCTTCCCTGCCCTGCCCTGCCCTGCCACGACTACCGACCCATGCATCCTTTGTCGTGACGGTGTCGTGACGGGGGCCGGCCCTGCCATGATGGTCATCCGATCTTCAAACGGACTGACCCCCATTCAAACTCCTCCCACCGGGCTGCTCTCACAGCTCCACTACTGCTCCGATGATCCTTGTTGAGCGCTGATGCGCCAGCAGCTACTCCACAAACAAGCTCCGAAAGCCGTCTTGACGGCATACCATACCGTGGCCTCTCTTGCCTTTTCGTTAGACTTAAGTACAGGCGGGCGGAGTAGGTATTGGTAGATGCCGTCCCCTCGCTGTGAAACGGAGCAGGTACGGCGTGACAAGGTCGATGATGCGTGGGCGTTCCTGGTCGGCCCACCTCCGCCGCCATCCTAACCCCCCGAACATCACCGCTCTTGGGTCTGCTCACGACGCGGCGAGTGAGGCCGCGCACACCGATTCACGCTTATTTGTCCGTTTCCGTCCGCACGATCAGCCCCGCCCTCCTCGCTCAGCGGAGAGTGGGGACGGAAGGCAGACTCGGTAGCGAGTATGGCGGGGATGCGGATCTGCGGCGACGCGACAACGGCAGGCAAGAAAGAGGATAGTTGCCCCGAGGCTGCCCTGGTTGCCCGAGGAGAGGTCGGGAGGCACTGGTCGCGATCAGAGCTCAAGCAGGCATCCAGTTTGGGGCGAGACGAGACGAGGCAGGGTGCGGCCGGCCTCTGTCCGTCTATCTGTCCGTTTTGTCTCACCATGCTGACGTTGCTGAGTGCCCTCCTCGAGTACGGAAGAGGGGACCGGGGGCCCTCCGTCACGGTCCGATCCTCGGATCCCGTCGTCCTTCCTCCGTCCCGACCGAGCCCCCCCGAATCGTACTTATACGGGACCATTCGAGCGTGCTCGCCAGAGCTCGTCAGGTCCATTCACCGTGCCCGCCGATCCCTCCTCCCCTCCCCGTCCCCTTCTCCTCTGTCGGAAACGCCGTCGGCTCCCTCCTGCTCCCTTATACCCAGCCGCTTCTCCAAGTCCTGCCACTCCCTCTACCCATCGAACCGCCGTGATCCAACGACCCAAGATGAAGTTCCAACTCTCCGCCATGCTCGTGGCGGCCACCGGCCTGGTTTCGGCGCGCGTCCTCGACTTTGAGTCGCTCGAGCCGCGACAGATTCCGTAAGTCTCCTCGTCGTCTTCTTTTTTCGCAGTGAGCTTGCGGATCGCGACGAGCCGTCGAACGTGTGCTCATCCGGTGTCCCTCGTCCGTCTGTGCTCCTCCTGCGACCGACACTGCTGCAGCGATCTGGCCAACCCGCTCGACCCGGTGCTCAACCCGCTCACCTCGGCGCTGGGCAGCGGCGCATCTGCGCTCAACCCGGTCATCGACCCCCTCACTTCGGCGCTGGGTAGCGGGGCGTCCGCGCTGACCCCGATCGTTGATCCACTCACCTCCGCTCTCGGCGAGGGCGCAGGTGTGCTCACCTCCATCATCGGCGGCCTCACGACCTTGATCCCCATCCCTGGCGGAGGTGGAGGAGGTACGACGACGAGCACCTCGATGCCGCCGCCGACGACGACGACCTCGTCGTCCTCGACGACGGTGCCCACGACGCCGCCGCTGACGACGACGACGATGATGACGACGGACACGGGCGGCAAGACGGTGACGTCGACCAAGACCGAGTACGGCTGCGAGTGCACGACGACGTACGTGACCACCGTCACCAACGGCAAGCCGTGCACGTCGACGATCGTGATCCACACCAAGTCGAGCAGCACCATGTACCACGCCACCGACTCGCAGGGCATGCAGTCGGCCTCGTCGTCCTACTACTCGGCCCACCCTACGCCCACGTACAACCCGCCGGCGCCCGCTCCGCCGCCGCCGCCGCCGTCGAGCACCACGCCGTACTGCAAGCCGACGACGGTGACCAACACGGTGACGGACACGGTGACCATGACGCTGCAGATGATGTGCACGCCCTCGACCATCTACCAAACCTCGACGCCCGCCACGTGCCAGCCGCAGACGTCGAGCCAGTCGTTCTACACGCCCCCCTCTGGCTCGTCCATGTCGTCGTCGCTCGGCGCCGGCTTCGGCGCCGGCCAGATGAGCTACACGACGTCGTACGACGGCATGCAGTACCTGAGCAGGCGCTGCAACGACAACAAGTGCGACACGACGACCGTCTACGTCGGCGACACGTCCATGCCCACGCAGCAGCAGCAGACGTACGTGCCCCCGACCACGACCTCGACGTCGTCCTACTGCCCGCCGACGACCTACACGTCGTCGACCATGGTCTGCTCGACGTCGACCATGATGTCGCGCACCACGTCGACCGGCAAGGCCTTTGTCGGCGTCGATGCCGCCGTCTCGTCCCGGGGCGGCATCAAGGCCAGCTCCTACACCCTCGTCGCCGCCACCCTCGCCTGCGTCTTCCTCATGCCCTACCTCATCATGAGGTTCTAGGCCGGTCCCCCCTTCCGTCGGTCCCGTCTCGTCTCGTCTCGTCTCGTCTTTCTCCTCTCCCCAGCCCATCGGCCCCGTATCCGCGTCGCTCCTTTCTTCTCTCGACCCGCGCCTACCTCCCTCGCCGGTGCCTCAGGTCTTGTATTCTAGCTTTGCCCCCCGCCCTCGCTTCCCCCTCCGTCTCGTCGACGCGCAGCCTCGCCTTGTCCTCCCCATCCCGGGTGAAGGGTGCAAGGGCTGGCGGATGTCCTTCTCTTCGCGGCCCAAACATTTGATGCGGTGTACCGCCTCCATTTGTCCCTCTCCCTCGTCGACTCGGGCCGACAAATCATCCGGGCCAATCAATCTTCTCTGACAGCGGTACGCCCACCGCGTCCCTCGGACCGGATCGAGATTGCGATAAGATTAGTTTGTATTCTGAGAGGGAAGGGCTATCTACTGTACTACACTACGGGAGACCACTTCTTTTCAGTGGATGCGGTGGCACACCAATACTACAACGTAGACCGGGGACGATTTATTTTAGGCCGGGTTGTTTAAAGTGGCGCGCCAGAGCCACTTGGTGGGTATCGAGCCGCCAGGGCGATCCGGCCACCGGGGGAAGGGAGGGGCTTATTTTAGGCAGGGTTGTTTAGAGTGGCGCGCCAGAGCCGACTTGGTGGGTATCGAGCCGCCAGGGCGAGTCCGGCACCGGGGGGGGGGGGATTTAGTTTAGGCCGGGTTGTTTAGAGTGGCGCGCCAGAGCCACTTGGGGATTATTTTAGGCAGGGTTGTTTAGAGTGGCGCGCCAGAGCCACTGTAGGGATCGAGCCGCCTGGGCGATCCGGTGATGATGGAGAGAAGGGAAGGATGGGAAGGGATGGAGAGCAGGTTTATGTACCTTTCAGCTGGTCGATTTGGTTGGGGGGTCGGCCAGGGGGGTCGGGCGGGCAGGGTGCTGGGGGGCACTGGTGTGGTGCCTGTGGCCCGGCCGACCACGCGGCGGCGCTGCACTGGCTGGCCCTGGAGGGAGGAAAAAGCGTTCAGGGGCGGCTTAACTCCGGAAAAAGGGGCAAACCCTCGACCCACGAGGCGTTAGCTCCGGGCTTGCTGCTCTAAAATCCAGATAAGTGGCGCAAGACACGGAGATTCCGGCGTTTGGAAGATCGCGTGCTCGCCAGAGGCCCGGAGCTAGCGCTTACGCCCGGGCTCGGGCAGCTTAGGTCCGTGCTAAAATCCGTTATCTCCAGGCATCCTCCAAAGTTACGGCCGTAAGCCAAAAGTCCGGGCACCTAACGGCCGTAAGCCTAAAATCCGGGACTCTCTTCCGCCGGGAAAAGAGGTTACGGCCGTAAGCCCAATGCCGGGACCGGCTAAACACCGGTATCTCCGGGGAAGGGCGAAAGCTTTCCGACGGATCCCAAATTTCGCTGCTTCAAAGCACCGGTATCGCCGGCCGTCCCTGTCCTTACGGCCGTAAGCGTAATGTCCGGGGACAGCTAAACACCGGTATCGCTGGGCACCGTGAGAGCTTTCCGACGGATTCCCATTCTTCGCTGCTCCAGAGCACCGTTATCACCGGCTACTCGTGAGCCTACGGCCGTAAACGTAATGTCCGATACCCATAATCCCCGGTATGCCTTCCGCCGGAAATCAGGCTACGGCCGGAAACGTAAAGTCCGGGATCGGAGAAGATCCTGTATCGCCGGCCACGAGGCTAACCCCCGAGGCCAGGGGCCCCATCCGTCCCCGCGAGACGGACAGGACGTGAAACTGAAAAAAACGCGCTTTGGCACGACACGACACGTTGTTCAACATCCATTGCTCGTCGTGTCGTGTGGCAGGCCGGTGCATGCTGCAGGGTCCCGGCCGCGACCTACGCTACCCACCCTCCGAATGGACAGACGGATGCAGGCCTCCCCCCTCCTCGGCCCCTCGCGCCGCTCACTGGCCCGACGAGAGCTTCTTGAGCCTCTCTTCGGCCGCCCTCGCCCTCTTTTCCCTCTCGATGCGTGCGCGCATCTCGGGCGTCAGGCCCGCCTGCTGGTCGCGCTGCTGGAGCAACGCCCTCGGCGCCGCACTCGCCCCACCGAGCCGGTTGGTCGTGCCGTGCGACTCCTTCACCTTCTCCTCCGCTGCAACCCTCTGCTGATGCTGTTCGGCCTCGCTGGCATCCGCGAGTCCTTGGGCTCGCGGCGGCCGCCGACTTGGCGGCGCGTTCGCGCGCCTTTTCGCGCAGCGCGGCGCGGCGGTCCTTGACCTTGTTGGCCTGCGTCTCCTCCATCTCGGCCGTCAGCGCGCTTGGCACGCGCGCCCCGCCCGCAGCCATGCCGCCCCAGTCGGCCCAGTCCGGATGCTCGGCCATGAGCTTGCGGAAGACGTTGCGCGTCTCCTTGTTCGACGCCAAGTCATACGCCGCCCGATGTCCGGCCGTCCTGTCCTCGCCATCCGCACTTGTGAGCGTGTCGACGACGACGATGCCCTGCTCCCCGTTCTCGGACGTCGCGGCAGCCTGGCCGCGGTTCCGACGCCGGATCTCGCCGGCCCGTTCGACGGGCAGACTCGGGTCGGCGCGGCGGTCGACGAGCAGGTACCGCGTCACCTCGTCCGCACCGGCCTCGGCGGCGAGCTGGAGCAGCGTGCAGGGCACCAGCTTGGTATCGGCAGCTCCGCGGCTGCCGTCGCCGCCGATCTGCTCGAGCAGCCACCACTCTGGCAGCCTGGCATCGACGCGTGCCTTGGCTGCGGCCGCCGCATCGTCGGCGTCGTCGGGCATGGCGTCGGTGGCAGCTGGGCCGCTGTCCCACCCAGCAGGCCGCAGCACCTCGGCCTCGCTCTTGCCGAGAAAGTTGATGAGCGCCTCGAGCCGCCCCTTGCGCACCATGTCGACCATGCGCTCAAACTTGGCCCTGCGCGCCTTTTCCTCTTCGCTCAGCTTGGGCGTCGCGGCTTCGCGTTCCCGCTTCTTGGCCTCCAGCTCGGCCGTCCGCTCCCTGGCCTGCTTCTCCTTCTGCCTCGCCTCGGCCTCCTTGCGCGAGCGCGCCGAGAGGCTTTCACGGTAGGCCTGGTCAAGCGCCTCGAGCTCCTCGTCCGTCTTGCGCTCGATCTTGACTCTGGTCAGCTCAAAGAAGCAGCGCACCGTCTCGCCGATCGTCGGCCGCCGGGTGGGGAAGGGGAGCGAGTCGAGCCGCCCGTCCTCCTTGGCGCTGTCAAGCGGGGACCGCCGAGCCGCCTTGCCCCCTTCCCAGCTCCACAGCGTGCCCTTGGCGGCGCGCGCCCCCGCCCTGATCCAGATGCGCTCGCTGCGGTTGATGAGCTCGCGCCAGCCGGGCAGGTCGAGGAGCGTCCGGATGTCGTCGCCGAGCGCCGACTCGTTGTACCGACGCAGCTGCGCACCCGCCGACTTGGCAAAGCGGCCCGTGGCATCCTGGGCCGCCTGACCGCCTCCCTGCTTCCTTCGAGTGGTGTAGCGGTGGAAGGTCTTGTGGGCGAGCAGGAGGATGGAGCGCTCCTCGCGCGGTCCGCTGCCCTTTCTGCCCTTGACGGTGGTGACGTGCGGGTTGAGGGCGATGACGGCGGCGGCAAAGTGGCCTCCGCCCATCAGCAGCACCGTCCAGAGGCGCAGCGGCGGGTCGGAGCTCTCGGGGTTGCGCGAGATGGCCGACGAGGCGAGCGACTGCGCGGTCCCGGTGGCGGTGCTGACGCCGTCATCGAGGTCGGAGCCGTAGTCGTCCGAGTCCGAGTCGTCCTCGTCCTCGTCGCTGCTGTCGCGCCCGCTTTCGAGCTTGAGTCCGGGCAGGTAGCCTTCGCCGTCAAGCACCGTCATCATGACGACCTTTGCGGCGTCCTGCGCGCCTTGAGCCTTGAGTCGCTTGCCCGTCCAGCCGCTGCCGGCCTTGCCTGGCTTCCGTGTCAGCCTGCCCGCCTGCATGGAAGAGAGGCAGGCCTTGTACCATTCCGCCGCGCCAAGTCTGGGGTCGATGTCGGGGGCCATGGGCGTGCCAGGGTCCGGAAAGATGCCGCGGTAGATGCCCAGCTGCGTCTGCTGCATCTGCGCCTGGGGATCCGCGTCCTCTCGCGATGTGAACCAGAGCAGCGGCGAGCGGGCGGTGACGGCGGAGCGCGCGGAACGGTCGTCGCCGAACTCGTCGTCCTCGTCTTCGTCGTCGCGATCTGCGGCCTTGCTACCTGCCGTGCCCAGGGTGAGCTTCTGGATGAGCTTGGTGACGGTATCGGTGCGGATGTTTGCCTGGCCCTTTGCGGCGTCTTCGTCGGTGTCGGTCTCGCCTGCGGTGTCCACCTCCTCGCAGAGCTTGTCCAATCTGGCTTCGTCGACGAGATGGGTGCCGCGGTGATTGAGTTGTACATTGTAGCGGTGCCAGTCTGAGCGGAAGTGGGCGCGCTGGGCCGAGAGCGAGGCAAAGGGAGGGCACGAGGGGCAGAGAGTGCAGGGCGGGACCTTGTTGGCGCCTCTCGATATCGGGGAGGGGATATTGGCCTCTGCAGTTGTGTGTGCGGCGCCTTGTTGGATTGCAGCCGCATCTGGGGCGGGGACGGCGCCCTCGGGGGCTGCGTAGAGGGAGGCCGGGTCGGTTGCGTCGATGGACCGGAGCTTGAGCGACTGTGGCAGGGAATGTGGCAGGTCGTAGACGTAGAGCGGGCGCGTGAGGAAGGGATGCTTTGCCGCGGGAGCTGGTGCGGAGCCGTTCTGGGCAGGAGTGCTTGTGTCCTGTTGCGTCGACATTGTGCAGCGACGAAAGGGGTGAAGAGGAGCGAGGGCCAGGAGATGGTGGAGAGGGGGACGTGGACTGGCCAGCCTGCCGAGAGCGGGGCGGAGGGGGGATATGGTGGCGTGCGCGGTATGCGCGGGTGGGCCCGAGATTGGTGCTGGGAGGAGTGTCAAAGGAAGCGTCTAAGATTGGGCAGGCCGGATGATGATGGAGGGTAGGGAAGGGGCGTCAAGAAGAAGTCGAGTCGTGGGCTCAGCTGCGCCCCGCTGACGTTTGGCTGCAGCCAAATTGCGCCGCGGAGCCGAAGCTCGACTGAGCCCACGAGGGACTGCGCCTCCACCTATGCGAGTCAGGGTGCAGCGCGCACCGTTCTCTGCCTCGAGTCCAACACCACCACCACCACCACCGTACCGCCACCGCCATCGCTTCCACCGTCGCCATCGCTCGCGACCATGTCAGCGCAATCGTCACCGTCACACAGCGCACCCGCCGCCGCCGCCACAATAACAGAGATCGACGATCCCATCCAAGAAGCTCACTCGCTCAAGGCAGCCGCAAACGCCCACTTCCAGGCAGCCAGGTACGACGACGCCGTGGCCGGTTACCTCGACGCCCTCGCAGTCCTACCCCCGCGGCCCACCCCTCCCCCATCATTCCACGACGAGGAGCAGCCACACGACCACGATGGAGAGCAAGAGCTGTGCTCGAATGACCAGCAGGACGACGACGACGACGACGACAACGGACAACCACCTGCACCAAGGCCGGCAGACGAGCCACAGGAGATAAAGACGCTGCGAGCCACGATCAATGCCAACCTCTCCCTCTGCTACCTCAAGCTACACCAGCACGCACAAGCCGTCGACGCCGCAACACAGGCGCTCATCTCACAGCCCCTCTACGTCAAAGCCCTGCACCGACGCTCGCTGGCAAACATCCAGATCGACACGCTCGCCTCGCTCTCGTCGGCCCTCGAAGATCAGAAACTCCTCCTCACCCTCCCCGACCTCCCCGCGTCCACCCGTCCCTCGATCCAAAAGTCGATCGCCGACCTCGAACCCAGAGTCGGGGAGCTGGCCGAAAAGGAAAAGCAGGAGATGCTCACCAAGCTCAAGGGCATCGGCAACTCGCTCCTCGGTACCTTTGGCCTCAGCACCGACAACTTCCAGTTTGTAAAGCAGGACAATGGCGGTTACAGCATGAACTTTGTCAGGTAGCCCGGCCTGCGCGCGGCGGGTCGAAGAGGAGGACCGGCAAGGCGAGGATCTAGGCCGCAGGTCCCTGTATCGCTCACCCTCCGACGAAAGTGGCAAGCCGCTCCCGTCTCCTTCCGCGACTGTCGCCGGCACATGCTGCGGCGGCTGTTCAGACAACGACGACGACATTGACTACGACAAGCGCTCCATTACAAATGCCAGACGCTCGAGGTACATGCAAAGGGCAACGGCGCCACCGCCGACGCGTCCGCTCAGTTGTCGTAGCCGGGCACGCGGAAGACGGTGGCGTAGGCAAAGTAGTTCTGCATCAATCGCAGAATGGCCGGCGGCGGCGACATCGACACGAGCGTGTACGACACCTTTGCCAGACCCTCGGTGCGGATCAGCTTGAACAGGCTGCTCGCTACGGCGCCCGGGTACGCGCCCTCCATGTACCACCGGTGGTGGTAGGCCGTCAACCGCAGCGCCGTCCACAGGCTGCGCTGCACGTCGCGCTGCTCGGTATAGATGCCCAGCAGCCGCAGGTACGCCTTGGCGCTAAACTTGGCATCCACGCACCGCTGGAACGCCTCCTTGCCCTCCTCCTGGTGGTTGAGCCGCAGCGCCAGCTCGCCCAGAATCTCCCACTCGGTCCCCGTCTTGCGGTACGGCAGCGTCTGCGTCCGGTAGTGGGCAATCTCGGCGCGCCAGATTGTGTAGACGCGCAGATCCTGCAGGCCGGACCAAAGGAAGAACGGCAGCATCGGGCGGGCGGGATGACGGACGAGCGCACCGCAGGTGTCTTTCGGTCAGCATGCTTTCCCCTCCCCTCCCCAAGCCGCAACGCATCGCACACTCTGCCACGCCCACTCACCTCGTAGAGGACCATGAAGAGGTTGTCGAGCCACCGCTCGCACAGGCGCTTGTTCATAAAGTTGAACGTCGACACCGGGTCCGTCGCCGCCGCCGCCGACGCCGCCGCTGCCGAGTCGGCCGATGCGCCCGCGTTGCTGGCATCGCCGCCCTGGACCGAGTCGCCGCGCGAGTGGACGCCGTTGGCCTCGCCGGGCACAATCGTCGCCGACGTCGAGTCGCTCTTTTCGTGGCCCGACGACGCCTGCGCCGGCTTCTCGAGCGGCGGCGGATCGATCTGGACCGACTTTCTTGCCTCGTCGGCCAGCCTCTTTTCTGCCTCGCTCGTTTCCTTGGGCCCTTCGTTGAGCGTCTTCATGTACTCTTCCAGCTCCTGCTTCTCGCGCTCGTGGTCCGATTCGGTCGAGATCTTGATCGTGGGTATGGACTGCGACGACGCGTTGGCCGCCGAATTGATGCCGAGCGTGCTCTGCCGCTTCTTGTCTGTTGCCGCTGCCTCCACGGCGTCGTCGTCGTCGTCGTCGTCGTCGTGCTCGCTCGCCACCGGGCTGCCCAAGGGCTTGTCCTTCCCATCCTGCTGCTGCTGCTGCTGCTGCTGCTGCTGCTCATCTCCCGCCGAAGACCTCGCCGCGTTGCCGTCGCTGGGTGCGATGCCACGCACCGACGCATCGTCGGCTTCGGCGCCCGCGCCGTTTGGTGCCGCCGCTGCAGTCTTTGAAGGGCCCGCGTTGGCCTTTTGGGCGCGGTACTCCTCCTCCATGACAAAGACGTTGGACCGGCACCGCAGCAGCTCGTCCCAGCCGATCTGGCTCACCAGGCGGGCGAGGAGCGCGTAGGCTTTGGCAAACGTGCCGCGCAGCGCGGGCGCTGGCAGTCGCAGCAGGGCGACGTCGGCCTCGGTGTCGCGGGCGCTGTCCTCGTCGACCAGGTTGCTCTCCGAGATGAACTGCTTGACGGGCAGGTGGCTGCGGGCGGGCGTCGGCATGCGGTGGAGGTCGCGCTCGTTGTAGGTGAACATCGGGCACGAGTTGAGCGTGTAGAGCGCCGATTCCCACTCGCCGAGCTCGATGTAGCACTCGGTGAGCTTGGCCCAGGTGACAAACTCGCTCGGGGCGCGGTTGACGGCCTGCTTGGCCAGCTTGAGCGCCCACTCGTGCTTGCCCTTGGAGCGGAGGAAGTCGACCTGGGTGTGCAGGAGGGCGTAGCTCGAGGGCGTCTCCTGGATGGCCGTGTGCATCACCTGGACCGCCTTGATCTCCTCGTTCATGCCGAGGTAGGCCTGGGCCACAAGGGCGGCCACCTCGGGCTCGCGGGCCCACAGCTTCTCGAAGAGGTTGACGGCCTGCTCGTAGCGGCAAGAGTCGCCAAAGTACTTGAGGATGCCCGCGGTGAGGTGGTTGGAGACGACGGTGGCCACCTGGATCTCGGGATCCGAGCCGAGCTGCCAGCCCTTGAAGAAGAGGTTCTCGGCAGCCTGGAGGAAGCGGTGCTCGGCGTCGGGGCTCGAGATGGGGTCGAGCTTGCGGTAGCCGGCGAGGCGGTAGTTTGCGTCGTCGGCGTAGAGGATGGCGCGGAGGAGGGCCGACAGGTAGACCTCCTGCCAGATTTCGGGCGTGGTCTCGTGGCGCTCACCGCGGAGGTCGACGACGTAGGCGTCCACGCTGCCGGGGATGCGGACCTCGACACGGACGTCGACGCGGGAAAAGGCGTTGAAGCAGCAGTATGCGCCGCTCTTGAGCTTGTAGGTGCTCTTGCCGGAGAAGAAGCCGGGGCTCTGGTCGAGCTCATAGGTGAGGCTGTTGATGTAGGCGGCGAGGGCGGCCGATGACGAGGCATCGACGCCAGAGACGTAGTGGTAGGAGCCAATGTCCTTGCTGCTGGCGCGGGAGCCGCTCGTCTTGATGACGTGCACGAGGTCGGGCGGGCCCAGCTCGCGGAACGAGGCGAGGCTCTCTGTGCGCGAGATGAGCGACTCGCCCAGCTCGACCTCGAAGAACTCGGGCTGGGACACGAAGCTGTCTCCCATGGTGGCAGTGACGGCGGCGGCGGGGCGGCGGCGAAGGCGACAGCGGCGGCCGAAGGGATGTAGAAGAAAGACGGAGCGACCTAGGGCCGGCTCTCGAGGCGGCGGCCTGGCAAGCAGAAGAGTGACCCGAGAGGGAGATGGGTAGTAGATGCAGCAAGCCCAGGCCGAGGCGCGGATATCGATTTCAGCCTGGATCAGCCGGGGGCCGGTCGGTGCAGACGGTGGTGGGGACCGGTGGGTCGCAAGGCAGGTCGTCGCGTCGTTCGTGAGAGGGTGTCGTCAAGGGGGCGGTCGCAGCGAGATCGAGGACGAGGACGAGGCCGAGGATGGAGGTGCGAAGCTGCTCGTCAGAGGCCCCATCGGCTCGATCCGATCTCCATCTGAGAAGGTCGGCCCTTCCGACATGCAACCACGGCGCGGCGCGGCAGCGGCAGGACAAGCCCAAGCCTTGGCCTGGGCCTGGGCCTGGCAGGCCTGACGCTGGCCCATCTCGCCTTGCTTCGCCCGGGCCTTCCGCTGCTGGCGCCTGCCTACTGGGCTGGCTTGGGCTGGCCTGCCAACACGCCGCTAGACCGTGCAGTCGAGAGCGTTGATTGAGGTCCGCGCCAGACCCGCACGGGAAAGGAAGGTAGGTATGATGCGCCCTCGCGGCTGGCTGCGGCCGCCCAGCACCCGCGAGCCTTGATTGGCCGGTGCCGCGTGGTCGCCCTGCCCGCCCTACCTCCTGTGGCCCGCGCTGCCTGCCGGGCCAGGCAGAGCAGAGGAAGATGCAGAGCAAAAGCGAAAAAGCGATGAGCCAAGCCGCGTCTCGTCTCTCTCGCTCCGTCGTCTTCCGCCGCCCTCGTCGAGTCGCTTCAAAAAGGCCCCGTCGGCCGTCGTCCGCTGGCTTGTCGCTCTTCTCCCATCACCGCCCTCGACAGCCCCACCATCAACCTAGCTTTGCTTGCCCTGACCTGCCCTGCCCTGCCCTGCCGTGTCCGTCCTGTCCCGACCCTCTTTGGCCAGGCGCATCCTCACGACTCCCTCATTGACGCTGCTCACGCTCGCTGGCTCGACACCGCTTGGAACCTCGATCGCAAGCCGCCTTGTCCGCTCGCCCGCCCGCTCGCTCCTTGGTCTTCACTGGGCGAACCCCTCTTGTCCACTCTTCCATCGTTCTCCGGTGCTCGCCCTCTTGTCTGCCTGTTTGCCTGCCCGCCTGCTATCTCCTGCCCTATTGCTGCTTACCCTCGGGCCATCACGTTCATCGCCGGCCGCCGCACTCACGCCTTTGTCTCAGCAGCTGTATCATCAAGCCATACCCACTCTCGAGCCTTCTACCTACCCTCGTCAATACCTCTCGCACCATCTCGGCAGCCTATACCCCCGATATCAACCGGCGCCTCTTCGATCAGTCATAACGTCCACGCCACGCCTCGCCTAGCATCGCCCTGCTCAAGCAACTCGGACACCTACCTACTTCTCGCTCAATTCAGGGATCCGCCCGTTCCGCGTTCACGCCAACCTTAGACGACGCCCTTCGCAACAATGCAGGCCTCGGATGTAGCAAGCACAAGCGCCGTTCCCATGGACTCGGCGCGACCCAACGCCGGCGCCGGAGCCGCCGGCGACGGGCTCGGCTGGGTCGAGCCGCCAGCGGGCCTCAGCCTCCAGCAGGTCCACTACCTCGTCCGCCACGGCGAGAGGACACCCGTGCGCACCCGCCTTACCCACCTCTTCCCTCAGCGATGGAACCTCTGCCACGCCGGCCGCAAGTTTGAGGCCGCGGTACTCGACCTCACCCCGACCACCGAAGACTCACGGCCAACGCTCAACGTCGGCCGCGTCGACATCCAGACACAGGGTCACGCCGGCCGGCTGCGCGTCAACCGCGCCGTCGAGGGCGAGGACTCTCAGGGGAGACCTGTTCGCGGCGAGGAGGGCGAGTGCCTGCTGGGCGAGCTGACCGACCTCGGCCGCCTCTCGACGCTTCGCTTCGGACGTGAGCTGCGTTCGCTCTACATTGACAAGCTTGGCTTCCTCCCGCAACGCCTTACGCCCGACGACGCCGACAAGGTCTACTTCCGGAGCACCAACATGAGCCGCACCATCGAGACTCTGCAGCAGCTGATCCGCGGCATGCACCCGCAGACGATGCAGCCGGCCTCGCCCGCGGGCACCGCCGCCGCCTTTGTGCCGCAGGTCCTCGTCCGCAACGGCACCAACGAGAACCTGCTGCCCAACACCTTTGGCTGCTCGAGGCTCCGCTCGCTCGATCGCGCCTTTGCCGACGCCGCCGCACGCGCGCTCAACCCGTCGCTGGAGAAGCTCGACGCCAAGACGATGCCCTACACCAACGGCGTGCCGATGCGCGTCGACGGCCACCCCAGGCTCAACGGCCTCTTTGACACGATCCGTGCGGCGCAGTCCCACGGGTTCAAGGTGCCCCCCGTGTTCCTCGAGAGCGAGACGCAGTCGATTGTCGAGAACGCCATCGTCGGCGAGTGGTTCTCGGGCTACCAGGCCGAGGATCCGGAGAAGCGGCTCGAGTTCCGCCGGCTCGCCATGGGGCGGCTCCTCGAGGACCTCGCCGGCCGGATGCAGAAAAAGGCCGACAAGGGCGACGCCGAGGCGCTCAAGTTTGCCCTCTACGCCACGCACGACACCTCGCTGGCCGGTCTGCTGTGCACGCTCGACTGCTTCGACTTCCGCTGGCCCGTCTTCACCGCGTCGGTCGGCATCGAGCTGTTTCAGGATCAGAAGGCAGCGCCGTCGATCTTTGGGCGCGCCAAGAGCCTGATGTCGTCGCTGACCGGGGGCGCCGCGGCGTCCTCTGACCACTGTGAGTATCCACCATTGGGCGCGTGTTCCGTGGTCCCGATGCCGTCGGCCGTCCGGTGCGCTGACTAGGCCACATTGCGGTTGCTTTCGTCTCCGGATTCCTCCGGCACAGATGTCCGAGTGCGGTACGGCGATCGGACGATGAAGCTGCCGGCGTGCGCGGACCAGGGCAAGCACTACGAGGGGCACCCCGAGCTCTGCACGCTCGAGGCGTTCCGGGGCATTGTCAAGGAGCTGCAGCACCCCAAGGGGTGGAACTGGGAGCAGCAGTGCGCGGTAGGCCAGGGCGCCACGAGCAGCAAGTGATCCGGCGTCGGGCGTTTGGTCCGAGCTAGAAGCTGGCGATGCCACCGTGCAAAAGATCAGAGGCCACCCGCCTCGTCGCATTCTTTCTCACCCTTTGACCGCCGAGAGCAGCAGAGCAGTTCAGACCCAGGCCTGGAGGGGGGGTCGCAACACGCGGTAAGTTCTCGAGAGCCATAAGACGAGTGAGTGCCTGGTGAGCAGGCGTATGTGTGGGTGGCGGGGTGCCTGCCGCATCCCTTGGCCATCCGACCCCCTCCCTGCCCCATCCCTCCGCCATCCTCCGCCATCCTCCCCGGTCCCACCCCTTCTCCCCATCCTCCCCATCCCCATCCCCTTCGAGGGCCCTTTAATCAATGTAGATCGGGAAACATACCCACCGATCTTGCATTTTCATGCTGGGCCAACATCAAACCCTCTAGTTACTCTATCTTCTCCTGCCCGTCGGGTCACACCGGCGGGTCGGGAGCGGGTTGGTAGCGCCTTTTCACTGAGAATCATCTTCGCTTTGCCCACTACGACCGCGTCTTCGAGGCGCGGAGAGGAGTCGCTGGGTCATTCATCGATTCACACATTCCCCCACTCTCCCTTCCCCTCGTCTCGTCTCGTCTCGTCTTTTCCTTGGCCGTTTTGAGATCGAGGTGTCCTGTCTCTTTAGCCATGGCAAAGCAGTTTTGATGTTTGAGAGACGGAGATGAAGCAATTGAAACCTGAGGGAGCGACGACGTCGATCTGATCTTCGGACGACCCGATCCTTGCTTTCTAGCTATGCATCGAGGTTAGAGGCGCAGGAGGTAGAGACAAGCCGAGGCAGAGAGGCGATGGTCGTGTCGGGAGAGAGAAGCCAGCCAGCCAGCCAGCCAGCCATCCGAGGGGCAACCGGGAGAAGGCTTGGAAAAAGTCCCCGAACGGGCAAAGGTAGAGGCAGGGGAAGGCAGGCAGGGCAAAAAGGGCCCGAAGCCGTGAGGTCGGCATGAAACGAGGCAGGCCTGGGCAAGACGCACGGCAGACTCGCGCCGAATCGTCGCTCGCTGGCGGCTGGCTGCGCTGCGCGTCCAAGACAGCAAGCAAGAAATGGCCTGCAGGGACGCACCCGCTGGCGAGCGCCAAGACGCGCACGCACGTACATACCTCACGCAGCCATCAACGAGCGAGCGAGGAGCGACAGGCCAGGCCAGGTCATCGTCGTTTGTGCATCCTGAGCGGCGGTCGGAGAGGCGAACAAACGACGGCTCAATTTGACAATCAGATGAAGCAAGCCAAGCCAAGCCATGCCATGCCATGCCAGAGCCAAGCTAGGAAGAGCCGGCCCTACCAGGCCAGGCCAGGCCAGGCCAGGCCAAGACGGCGCCGCAGTGCGGCGTCTTGGGACTCGCCTAGCGGTAGTCGGCCGCCTGCCTCGGCCCACGCCCGCCTGCCAAGATGCGCCGAGAAACGCGACGTTCGGGCTTGGCCGTACGTCGTGCGTGGGCCGGCACGCACCCGTCGCTTGCTGCTTCTTGCTTTCGGCCATCATCCAACGTTCCGTCTCAACTTGCTTGCTCTCTTTCGATCTCTGGTCCTTGCTTGCTGGCGTCTGCACGCCAGCAGGCCGTCGTGGCCGCACAGCGGCGGTGGCCGGTCAACAAGCTCGGCCACCGTACCGGTAGCATGCTGGCAAGCAGGCCCAAGCAGGCAAGCCGTGCGTGTCAACCGTACCGTACCGTACCGTTGCTACCGGTAGGTAGCGTTACCCTGGCCGCACCATCGAGGCCCGTTGGTGCATGCACAGCCTCCTTCTTGCCGTCTTGGGCCTATTCGGATGTGGCCGGGGCCCAAAGCCAGGCACGCCGGCAGGCCGACGATGGACGATCATCGGCCCCGCTCGGCCAGCCCCACGAGCGATGCCAACAGCCCCGACGCAGACGCGGATGCAGACGCAGACTGAGGCCAGCAGACAGGTCGGATCAGGCCACCTTGACCAAGCAAACTGGCTTGAGCACTCGCCCATGCATCCGACTTGCTCCATGCCGTCCGTCGCTCCTGCGTCCCGGTGGCGGAAGTCGCTGCGTTGCATGGCTGGCTGCTTGCTTTGCGGCTCATCCCGGGCTACTGGCTGGCCGCATCAAGCCGGTTCTTGGCGACCTCCTACCCGTACCGCACCGTACCGCACCATACCGTAGCCTGGTCCGGCCAGCGCGCAGGGGAGTCCCGGTACTGTAGCTACAACGGCCACCACCACCACCGTCACTGCGCCGGCGGCATCGCCTCACTCGGGCTCAAGGCATGCCGTTCCCCTGCCCCCTCCCTCGGGTGCGGCCCTTCGACTGCCAAGAGGCACCCCCAGCTTTGGCGTCGCACAGTGCCAGGCAGCGGAGCCATAACAGGTCGTTCTTGTCGCTCCCCTTGTTTCTCTCCTCGTCCTCACACCGTACCACCACCACCAGCTTCGCCTTCTGTCCTTGAGCCTCCCACACGGCTCTACTCCCCCGCCCTCCCGTGCGTGCCAGACTCGCCCTCGTCTTGCCGGCATCAGCATCTCCACCGCCACTGCCGCCGTCGCCGCCGCCTCCTCATCGCCAGACGCGTGGTGCCGCCCAAACGCTCCGGCACCACCGCCACTCCTGCGCCACTCCTGCACCTCGCCGTGGCCTGCCTGCCGGCGATCCATGCACCCGTCTCCGCCTCGATCCCCCTCCCGCTGAGCCAGTCGCGCTTGCACGCTGATACAACATGGTGGGCGCGTCGCTCCTCTCTGGCGCGCTGCTCTTCGCCTCGGCCGCCACCTCGCTCGCCGCGGCCAAGTCGGTCCCCTTTGGCCAGCCCGGCAGCCTGCCCATCCCGCACGAGGTCCTTAGGCGCAGCGTCACCGGCAACGGCAACAACCTCAACGGCCAGACCTACGACTATGTCGTCGTCGGCGGCGGCCTCGCTGGTCTCGTCGTCGCCGGCCGCCTCTCCGAGAACCCGGACGTGACCGTCGCTGTTATCGAGGCCGGGGACAGCGGCTACGACGACAATCGCAAGTTTGTTGTCCCCTCGGCCAACCTCTACGACTCTGCGGCCAACACAAAGTACGACTGGAAGTTTGAGACCGTCGCCCAGTCGGGCCTCAACAACCGCGTCACGCCCTGGGCCCGCGGAAAGGTCCTCGGTGGCAGCGCCGCCATCAACGGCCTCTACTACGTCCGCCACAGCGAAGTCGAGCAGAACGCTTGGGCCAAGATCAACGGCGAGGGCCCCGACGGCACCTGGGGCTGGAACAACATGCTGCGCGCCATGAAGAAGAGCGAAAACTTTACCCCTCCGAGAAAAGAGCTGCTCGACGCCGTCGACATCAACTTCAACCCGGCATCCCACGGCACCGACGGCCCGCTCCACGTCAGCTGGCCCGCCAGGAGCTATCCTCCCGTCGCCTCGTTCCTCCAGAGCGTCGCCGAGCTTGGCACCGCCATCAGCCAAGATCCGGACGCCGGACAGTCGTGGGGCGCCTTTGTGGCCACCAGCACCATCAACCCGACCAACTGGACGCGCTCCTTCTCCCGCACCGCCTACCTCGACCCGTACGCCTACCGCAGCAATCTGCATGTGCTCACGGGCCACACCGTCACCAAGGTCCTCTTCGACCAGGGCTCTTCGTCTGGCGGCGGCGGCGACGTCAGGGCCACGGGCGTCCAGTACTCGGCCGCCTCAGGCTCGGATCGGCTGAATGTCAACGCGGCCCGCGAGGTCATCCTCTGCGGCGGCTCGGTCAACGACCCGCAGATCCTCCAGCTCTCGGGCATCGGCGACCGCTCGCTGTTGGAGCGCCACAATGTGCCCGTCATCGTCGATCTGCCGGGCGTCGGGCACCACGTCCAGGACCACGTCTCGGCCGGCCTCACCTGGGAGCCCAGCCAGCCCTCGGACATTCCGCCACAGCGCGTGACCAACGACCCCGTCACCGACTCGTACGTCAACTCGGCCATCGCCTATGTCGGCGCCAACACGCTGTACGGCGACTACCGCGCCACGCTCGTCGCCGAGATGCGCCAGGAGCGCGCCGCCACCGTGGCCGCCCTCGACGCGCCCGAGGCCGTCAAGCGCGGCTACGACCTCACGTACGGCGTCCAGGTCGATGACATCTTTACCAGCGACGTCGGGCCGATTGAGCTGCTGTGTGCCATCAGCTTCGGCGGCCTGTCGGTGCAGGCGGCGCTGCAGCAACCGCTATCGCGCGGCAGCATCCTGATCCAGTCGAGCGACCCCTTCGCCGCCCCGCTCATCGATGCGGGATACCTGACTAACCGCTTCGATCTCGAGACGATGCGCACGGGCTTCAAGCTGGCGCGGCAGGTGGCCAACACGAAGCCGCTGTCGGATCACATGGGTAGCGAGCAGGTGCCCGGCTCGTCGGTCTCGTCCGACGCCGACTGGGACAGGTGGATCAAGGACCACGTCCAGACCGAGTACCACCCGTCGTGCTCGTGCGCCATGCTGCCGCGCTCGGCCGGCGGCGTCGTGGGCACGGATCTCAAGGTCTACGGCACGCGCAACCTGCGCGTCATCGATGCCGCCGTGCCGCCGATCTCGCTGAGCGCACACCTGATGGCGGCCACGTACGGCCTCGCCGAGATTGGCGCCGAGCTGGTCCTCAAGGAGCGGGACGAGGCGCTAAAGCAGAGCAGCAGCAGCGGCGGCGGCTCTTCTTCGCCTGCGTCGGGCAACGCGTCCGGCTCCACTCCGGTGTCGGGTCCGGCTTCCGGCGCTGCTGCCTCTGGCTCGCCCTCGGATCTGAGCAGCAAGAGCTCCTCGGCCGCCACGCTGTCGCTCGGCCGCCTGACGGCCTGGCAGCTCGCCTCTGTCGGCGTCGCATCGTCGGCGCTCCTGGCCTTTGCCCTCTAGAGCGAGCGGGCGCGATCCGAGTGTGAATCTTTATGGACCTTCTTGTGCGCTCTCGTCTTGTTCGCCCGCTCTGGGCCTGCGACCGCCCGCCGGGCCGCTGACCCCCCCTCTTTGCTCCGTGTCTGTATCATCTGCGCCTCTTATCGCTCACTCTGTCTCTCCAGCATATCGCACGTCGCGACTGACCGCACGTCCAGGACAATACCATTAATCATCGATCGTGCGCCCCGCGCTCCTATGTTCGATCCGAGCCGTGGGGTAGGTCTGCACGGCGAGGTGCGACTCGAGCTCGAATGTCCCTGTTCTGTTCCGGACCGATGGGCGTGTTTGCGACTGACGGGTGCGCGTGCGCGAATGCATGATAAGGTGACATCGTCCTCTCTTTTCTCCTCTTCTCTTCCTTTCCCTCCTCCTTTGACTGCGTCGTTCCACCATCGATGCAGCGGTCTCGATCTCTCTCTCTCTCTCCCCATCGCCCGACCGTCGAGGAGGAGGGAGCGCGACTTGAGCGGGGAAGAGGCGGAAGCAATGGAGGGGGCGGGCGTCGAGCCTCCTAACCCAGTACGCCCTCGTTGCTCTCGTAGCGGCGGTAAGTGTAACCGAGGAAGGCGAGGTCCTTGCTGCCGACGCCGACATCAGCGCCAGACGGTACCTCGGGCACGTCGGTGTACTCCTCGGTGGGGAAGTAGGACGTATCGGTGATGCTCTTGAGCTGCGGGATAAAGGGCGCGTCAATCTGCCGGATCGTGCTCCAGTCGACGCCCGCGAAAAAGGCGTGGTCCTTGATCTCCTGCGCCGAGTTGCGTCCCAGTCGCGTCTCGGGCGCCGTAATCAGCCTGGTTTGAGCAGCCAGAGGTGGGAAGATAGAGACGTTGGGACAGAGACAGGTGTCAGAATTCAATTCGGCGGGCGGCGAGGTGGATTGTTGCGGTCGCTGCCAGGCGACTGTTGTAAGCTCCCACCGACGACGACAGGTCGGGCCGAAGGACCCGACCAGTGCGGACGACGGACGGCAAGAGGGTGAGAGGGGGCCGAGACTCACCGTCGGATCATGTCCTCGGCCTCGGGGCTGAGGTGGATGTCGTCGGGGAACTGGAGCGTCTCCCTCCACGCCAGAATCTTGCGGTAGGTGTCGTGGGCGTTTTCCGAGCAAAAGGGCGGGTAGCCGCACAGGCACTCAAACATGATGGCGCCCAGGCTCCACCAGTCGCACTCGTTGCCGTAGCCCTGCTGCAGGAAAATCTCGGGCGCAATGTAGTCGGGCGTGCCCACCGTCGAGTAGGCCAGCTTGCGCCGGTTGGCCTTCCAGGTGGCGATCGTGTCCTTGCTGCTGAGGGTCAGGTTGATCGAGTTGACGGCGACGCTGTTGCGCCCGGCCTGGGCCGGGTTCTGGCCGGCGCTGCCCTCAAACAGCCGCTGATAGTAGGCCGAGTCGTGCTGCTTGTGGAAGCCCGTCGAGAGGCCAAAGTCGGACATCTTGATGTGGCCCTTGGCGTCAATCAGGATATTGTCCGGCTTGATGTCGCGGTGGATGAAGCCCAGCTTGTGGATCCCCTCGAGCGCCAGCACGCACTCGGCCATGTAGAAGCGCGTCACATCCTCGGAAAACGTGTCGTACTTGATCAGCATCGTCATCAGATCTCCGCCCGGCAGGAACTCCATCAGCAGGTAGAGGTAGGCCGAGTCCTGGAACGAGTAGTACAGCTGCACCACCCACGGCGAGTTGGACTCGGCCAGCACGTCACGCTCGGCGCGGACGTGGGCCAGCTGGTCCTTTTTAAACATCTCGCTCTTGCGCAGCGTCTTCATGGCGTAGATCTTGCCCGTGTCGACCTTCTGCACCAGCCGCACCTCGCCGAACGCGCCCTTGCCAATCACCTTGACGGTGCGGAAGTCGTCGAGGCCCAGCCGCGTCCGCCTCAGCCGGAGGAAGTTGGACTCGCGGCGCCCGAGCGAGTGCAGCTGGCGAGCCTTGCGATCCTCGGTCAGGTGGCCGCTCTCGGCCGGATTGGCCAGCCGCTTCTCGAGCTCGACGCGGCGGTGCGACCGCTCAATGGCCTGCTCGACGAAGACCTTGTAGAAGTGCTCGAGCTTGAGCTTGGCGCCCGTCGCCGCCTCGATCGTCGACTTTTGCATGCCCGCCGTCGAACGCTCGAAGTAGACATAGTCGGCCGGCTTCTCGTTGGCCGGGTTCGGCGACGTGGATCCCGATCCCGAGCCTCCCTGCTGCTGCTGTTGCTGTTGCTGTTGCTGTTGCTGTTGCTGCTGCTGCTGCGCGAGCGCCTGGGCCTGCGCCTGGGCAAACGAGTTGGGGCTGCCGCGTCCGCCGGGCGAGACGTTTCCAGGCCTACCAGAGGGCGAGGGTGATCGGTTGATCGACGAGCCGCCCGGCGAGCGAGGACCGTAGCCAGAGTCGGGCGCGTGGAGGCCCTGCTGAGCGGCGGCGATCTGCTGCTGGTGGAGCTGCGTGGCCTGGGACATGGCTGGATGCTGAAGCTGCGAGGGTGGCGCCTGGGCCTGGGCAGCGAGGGCGGCCTGGTGAATCTGAGCCTGCAGGTGCGGTGGCGCCTGGTAGTGGTGGGATTGCTGCTGCTGAGCGTAGGCTGAGTGGGTTAGAGGGCGGGGATGAGAAAGGGTGACGAGCGGGGGATGCGAGTCAGTCGAGAGGCTCGTCCCGTGACGATGGAGGCGGAAAGGAGTGCGGCGAGCAAGGGAAGAGGGGACCCGGGAGGATGGCAAGCCAAGCCAAGCTGTTGGACACAGCAGAAAGGGGCGCTCGCACGGAGCCCCACGCAGTAGCTAGTGCTGCCAGAGTCGCCCTTGCTTCGATCACGAGCAGCGCGCGCGAACGGACCCGCGCCATGCGAAGCGTGGACAGGACAGAGTTGCAACGCGAGCATGGCAGGGGGAAACCTGCAGGAGGGGCCACCATCCGTCCTGGACCACTCACCCTGACTTTGGGCGAACCCACCTTGGCCGGCGGCGTTGTAGCCGTAGCCTACCATCCCGCCTGCGCCTGGGTAGCCGCCGGACCCGGGTGGGTTGATGTTGTAGCCCATGGGGGCGGCGTACTGGGCGCCGTAGGCCATCTGGTTGGTGGGCTGCTGGATCTGAGGCAGCCGTTGGTTGGGCGGCTGCGGCGACTGCCCACCGGGCGGCGCGCCGTTGCGATAAGCCATCTTTGCCGGGTGCCGGGTGCTGAAAGACTCGAGCTCGCGTGCAAGAGAGGTCGTATCAAGGTCGCTGAAGACGAGGGCCTCTCGTGGTCGTTGCAAAGATGAGCACGCAGTCAAGATCGGGTCGGACCGAGCCGGGCCTGCTAGCAAGACAAGTAAGCGTAGCGTATCCAGGGATCCAGCGAGGCGGAGGTGCGGAGGGCTGCCGATGCAGCGCAAGCGACAAGGTGGGCGACGTCAGCCGCCGAGGTCTGCGGGTGATGAGAAGTCGGCCCTGTTTGACTTGCGAAGGGGCACGTCGTAGGCGCAACGCCGTTGCTGGAGGGTCGAGCGGGCGTGATTTCGTGGTGAGAGGCAGCAGAAAGTGGTGTGAGATCGAGCAGCGCTGTTGTCGGTCACGGTTTGACAATCGGGGGCGGACCGGGCCGACGAGACCAGGAGGAAAGGTGAAGTGGGTCGATACGAGAAGGGCAGTGCAGGCGAGGCGAGACGAAGAGAGCGGTACGGGGGCCCTTTGTCGACCAGGTCCGCTACGCTGCGCTGCGCTGCTGGCTGTCGCTCGGGCCTTGCCTGTGGCTGCCTGCCTCCTGGCCTTTTGTTGCGGGGTGCTGGCCCGCCACCAGCCTGCCTGCTGGCAAGCCAGGCCAGGCCAAGCCGGCGGGCAGGCGTGCGGCTGTGGGTCAGTGCGCGCGCAACTCATCTGCCTCGGAGCCGACACCCGCCCTCATCTCATCTGGCCCTCCCCCGCCACCTGCTCGCCGACCCCGCTCCGCAGGCACAGACGCTCCCCCCTGCTGCCATCTCCACCAGGCTCGAGCATCGCCACGCCGTCCGATGACACCAAGAGAAGAGAGGACAAGGCACGGTATGGCTTTCCGCACGGTCCGCTGACCTGCGCCTGTCTTTGTAAGCGCTGTTCGCGTCGTCGTCCCCAGGCGTGCTCACGAAAGCACATGTGCTCGCAGAACCATGGCGCATCATTCGCGCGGCGCTCGCGGCCGGACGCCCGTTAGAGGCCCAAGAGCGGTGCTTGGCGGTCCAGTGCGGCGGCGTGCAGACACCGACCACCGTGCAGCACGGCCTTCGCTCTCTTCGACGTCCCCGACGAGGGACACGAGCAAGCCTTGTCCACCGACCAATGCCAGCAGCATGTCAGTACGGCAGAGCCGGACTAGCATGGTTCAACGCTGATCAAGACTCGGCGCAAGGCGTCTTGTGGCCGTTTGATCGTCGTGGAGAGACATGCCGCCCTGCTCCTGCCCTCGCACACCCTTCTCGATGGGTTTAGCTATACCGTGGTCGCATCTTTACGCCAGATACGTACCGCGCGCTGTCGAACGGCGGCTTCTGCTCGAGCCTTTACTTGCTGCACGCCCGCTGCCATCTTCGAGAAGCAGCTGGTTAGCTGGTTGCCAAGGCGCCTTCTCGAAGCAAACAGCGCTTGCTGCATCGAAGCGTTAGAGTGTGATCCAGACCTCTGGTCGAGGTGGCGGGTCTGCGCAGCACGCAGGGCCTGCTTCAGGAGCAGGACCTTGATACTTATCAGATCTACGGGGCAGGACCATCTCACGCTAAACGTTTAAGTGAGACCCCGAGGTCGCTCCTCTGCGACGCCAGGCCAGGCCGTGCCGTGCCAGGCTACAGTAGTACCGTACTGCTCTGACTTTGCATGGCGTGGCGTGGCATGGCATACTGTAGCTTGCCTATCTGGCCTGGTCCAGGATCCCTGCGACTGGTACTTACTTACCACCGGCGTGGCCCTGTCGCGTATATCATGTCGCCTTAGGCCTGGACGGACACCTCGAGCATCCCACCGCGACCAAACAGAGAGTTGGCGCTATTCGGGTAAGCCCGTCTCCTCCCCGAGACCTGATCGCCAAGGCGGCCTAGCTAGCAGATACTGACGCCCAACACGCGACCCTGCCGAAGGTGGCCATCCAGCTCACGGCTCGGGCGACGCAGGCCTTACCTCCCGTCGTGATCGCGAGCTCTCCGCGGATCTCGGCACCGTGCGCGCTCCAATATATCTTCGAGGGCGTGCCCGTCCTTCGATCTATCTTAGCAGTGGCAGGACTTCGCCATATTAAGCTTCTACTGTCCGTCGACGGCCCGCCATACATTAGCGGTGGGGACTTCCCACGCCAGGCGCACGGCATTGACCTCCCATTCCGGCGCCGGCTTCCTGGAAAAAGAGTACTAGTAAGTAGTGTGGCGGTCGGGATGGCTTCTTTGCCGGAAGCGAGACGGTGCGTACAGGATGAGTGGCAGCAGGGCGCCTTCTTGGAACAACCACGAGAGTGACAGATGTCGGGCCCCGCCTGCGGCCGCCTCTTTGCTGTGACCGTCAGAGCGGCGGCGCGGCCATGGAAGTAGTCCACCAGGGGTCGTCGAGGAGCTTTGGATAACAGCGCCGCTCGGATGATGGCGCGGCGACGATGCAGAAAGAGTGTTTGATCGCCATATTGCAGCAGCGACGCGGGGGTGAGTCGCTTCGGCTGGCTTCCAGCCCTCGATCTGAGCCGTGCTCGCCTGCGATGCTGGATCATGTCCTTGCAGGCTCGTCGAGCGTGATCTACAGGCAGGTAGTTACCGGCGTCGTCCCTAAGCGGGCGGGCTACTGTATGTACCAGGTCGGGGATCGACAGGCAGCAGCGACGATCATCGAAAAGCAGCATGTGCTCGCTCGTGGAAGGCAGAGGTCACATGCGGTGTGGAGAACGACTACTCTTACGGCTTCGATGTCCGCTGCCAAGCAGAAGGAATCCGCCCTCGACGGGCAGCTCGGCAGGCACAGGCACAGGCACAGGCACACTGCCCAGCATGCAGCGTATGCGCGCTGTCGGGTTGTGCCTACCTCGGAGCAGGCCGAGTTTCCGCTGCCCGCAACCATGCCTGGCCTGCCTGTGTGCCCCGTCTGTCGGCCTGTTTGCTTGCTGGCCCATCGGCTCTTGGACCGAGCCGGCGTCGGTCGAAGCCGCGACAACCCGGTGATGGCTGAAAGTCAGAGTAGTCAGAGTGGTAAGTGAAAGCCCTGGGTGAGATTCAAGATTCCTCACGTCCAGTGGGGCTGTGGCCGTGGCTAGGACCGGAAGCGCGCCGCGCCAGGCAGGCCAGGCCCCTCTGACGTACCAGACGGATATCATGCTGCCGTACAGGGAACGGAAGGAGAGACAGAGAGGTGTGCCGTAGCCTAGAGCCGTCGTGGGCGAGCGAGGGCACCATGCCTCGCCAGTCAAACACAAAGGCGGGCCTGCTCGTGGACAAAGGGCAGCAAGCCCGCTCCTGCGTAAAGTGCGCTGCGCCTACACACATACATACACACATACAGCAAGGCTTTCAAAACCGCGCCGACGACGCCCGCCCGCCCGCCGCCTACAGCACCTACGCCCGCTCGTCACGGCTACTCGGCGAAGAGTCCGGGCAGCCTAGGTGCCCTGCTCGGATGATACTGCAGCCAACGCATCCAAGGGCGCCGGTCATCTTGGCTGTGAGTGGGCGGACGGCGGCGGCCAGCTGAGCTTTGCGCTGCGCCAGAGTAGTAACGCAATGGCGCGGGCGTCGTCTCTCCGATTAAATGACCTTGAGCCTTTCTGCGGCCGAAGGGGGATACGGAAATCTAGCGCAAAAAGTTGGGGCCCTTTGACAGGTTGCCGTGCGATGCAGCGCCCGACGCCTCCTGACGCGCCACCGCCCCGTCGACTCGAGCGAGGCCAGCACGACAGAGCAAGGAAGAGAGAGAGAGAGAGGATGGCGAGGGACAAAGGGCAAACTCAGCCGTCCCAAGGTCGGTCTCCATCAATCATGAATCAAGAATAGAGACGCAGACAGGTCGATGTGCCCTCTGATGCTCGGGTCGCTTGCTCGTCGTACGGCGCCCAGCCTCGCCCTTGGGCGAGCGAGCGCTGAGCCACTCACCATGGCATTGTCACACTGGATCCTTCTTTCGTTGCCTCGTCGCCGCACGTCAGACGCCGGAATGCCTGCTCGCCCGGCAGAGGGCGTTGCCGTGTACGTACCATGGCAGGAATCGGGTGTGCGTCTCCGCCCTCATACATATACGGCAGCATGCACTTCCCGCCCGCCCATGCAAGTACGTTGCACTGACAATACGGATCCTGCCTTTTTCTCTTCTGCAGGCCCCTTCCCCCTCCCCCCCGGCCTCCCGCTCAGTTTTTGACGCCCGCCGCCGCCGCCGCTGCCGTTGCAGCGATCTCGCAGCATGGCAATCAGACACCTGGCACTCCGACCGGCCAGCACAGCGCCGGGCTCGGGGCGTCGGTCGCCGTCTCCTTATAAAGGCCTCGCCGACACGGAGCGCCGCGACAGGGAGCTCCCCGATCTCCCACCGCCCTATGCTCCCGAGCATTCGCTCCTATTCGCGCCTCTCACTCCAACCTTCGTCCCCGTCAAGCCGTCTCCGCGCAGAAGCAGGTTCCCCCGCCTTTCCCAGTGGTCTCCTGGCAAGAGCACGACGAAGGCTCGGAGTCTCAGAGTCACCTCACGCCTCGAAGCTTCTGTCTCCGTCGACGCCCTAGAGGCGCGCTATGCCGAAATGACGGCGACGCGTCCATCTCCGCACCACTTCCACGACGACTCTTCCTTCGTGGACGGCGCCATGCTCGTGTGAGTTGGGCCCGCCTCCCTTTGCCCCAACCCCACCACAGATCCAGCCGTGAGCCTCTCTGAGTTCTGACCGCCGTCGCTCCCGCTTCCCCTCGATCCCCTTCCGCTGCCACCAGTGTCAAGCGGGAGAGCCTTCAGCCTTCCTTGGGGATAGACCCAGTCTACGACTCGACAGATCGCCGCCTCCTCCCATCCGAAGACATGGAGACGCTCAAGAGCACCTTCCAGGACTCCGATGAAGAGGGAGGCTCCCAGCTGGGTCAGCTGTCGTCCAAGTACAAGCTGGTCGGCAGGCTGATGCGATCCAAGGCAAAGGAGTCTGCGGGACCGACCAGCTCCCCGTCGGCCTCCAAGCTGGGCAGGAAGAGATCGACCTCGAGCGCAAGCGGCAGCAGCCGTCATTCGACGCATCAGCTGGAAGAGTCGATCGCCGAGTTCTTTGGCACGCCCGCCAAGCCCAAGGCCCGCAACAAGTCGATTGGCACGTCGAGCACCGATTCGGCATCGAGCGCCGGCAAGACTGAGCTCAAGATCCTCGAATCCGCCTTGGGCCTCGGCACCGGGCAGAGCAAGCGCAGCGCGGCTCGGTCCTCTTCATCGACCGCCCGGTCGGCCAGCTCGTCGGCCGCCAACGCGTCCCTCACACTGGGCCGCGAAGACTTGGTCACGTCCAGGCGGGGGCACGAGTCGATCTCGCTGCGGGACGACAGCAGTTCTCACAAGAGCCAGGACTCGTTCTCCTCCCTAAGGGGCGACAAGGAGTTTGGCATGGTGGCGGGCTTCACCTACAGCCGGGCACAGCCCGGCAGCCTGCCGGCGTCGCGCCCGCAATCGAGGAACGCCTTCTCGTCGGCCGCGTCCCCGCCGACGCGGATGGTGCCGCCGCCGGCCGCGCACCCGCCATCCTCTGCCAGAGCTTCGCCCAGTCTGCGCAACCTGCATCTTCCCGGCAGCCGCTCTGCCTCACCCGCGCTCCGATACGACGTGGCTCGGCGCCCAGGCCACCGTTTCGAGGAGATCGGCAGCGCCGCCAGCGGTGGTGAGCCCGCTCGCGAACATCGCTCTTCCTTGTCCATCTCCAGGTCAAACGCAATCGAGATCGACGGCATCGTTCCGCGACCATCAGCCGCGAGACTCTTTTCGGACGATGCGATCGCCCGAGTCAGTACTAGCAGCAGCAGCAACACCAGCAGCAACCTCGGCGGTGCCGCCGCAGCTCTGCCGTCCCGGGTGCGGCAGGCCTCCGAACAGGATGCTCGTTCCGAGGGCTCGTCTTCGCCGAGCACGTCGAATGCCGCCTTGGCCATGCAGCGTCGCGGCCGCAAAGGTCCGGCTCCCTCGCCGCTTCCACCGCCAAGGCCGCCTCCAGCCATGTCACTTCCGCCCGTGCCATGCGCGGCGGGAACACTCAACCCCAGTCCCGAAGTCTGCGCAGAGCCGCGTGCCATCAGCGCCTCATCAAGAGACGAGCCCGGACCGGAGGTTGAGTCGAGGCACCAGGCAGAGGTAGCAAGGCAGACGTCGGCGTCTGTGGCAACGTCGAGCCTTTCCCTGCCTCCCTTCCGAGCCATTGTCATGGGCGTCAAAGTGGAACGCAGGGCGCACATGTCCACAGCCTCGGCCTCCTCGCCGACGGTCCTCGTCGAACTCAACGTCGGCGGTCGCAGGTTCACCACGTCGACGGCCACGCTCTGCAGCCCCTCGTGCCGACAGGGCCGGCTGTCTTGCTTCATCCAGGCAGAGATTGACAAGGCACGGCTCTCAAACGAGGCTGTCTATCCGGCGGCAGCGCGTGGCAGTATCGAAGCGAGCAGCAGCAGCAGCAGCACCGGCACCGGCACCAGCAGCACCGGCGATCCACGGGGCCTGGACAAGGAGGCGCTCCGTCGCGAACTGACACGGACGGCGTTCGACTCGTCCTCGTCCGAGTACGAGGGCCAGCAGTCGCCCAGCGATAGCGACTACAGCTTCTATGGAGGCAACTCGGCCGCCATGGACAGCACCTCGTCGCCCGCCACGATCCTGTCCGAGGCCGACGAGCACGACGATGGCGCCAGCGAGCTGTCGTTCTGGCCCACGACCAAGAAGGGCACGGTGCGCTCCATCACGGGCGCTTCGTCACCGGCCGAGCTCTGCACGCCTCCCCACTCTGCCGGGACGAGTCAGTCGGGCCTGCCCTACCTTGGCTCCGTCCACGCCGCGTCGTCCTCGAACCTGCACAACGACGATGGCGGCGGCACCCTCACCCCTGACTCGACCGTGGGACTGCCCAGGTCCTCGAGGCTCAACGCCGCGATCAACAGCCTGCTCAAAGAGCAAGAGGCCCTGGTTGGAGCCCTGCGCGAAGAGGCGAACCCCAGCCCGGGCCTCCTCAGCGTCAACGAGTGCGGCTCTTCCGGCAGCAGCCGACGCACCAGCAACACGGTGCAATTCTGCCCCAGCGACGTCGGGGAGAGCGACAACGAGGACAGCTTCCCCTCGATCAAGGAGCCCTCCGACGGCACGACAGCCACGGGAAGCGGCACACCCAGCGTCAAGACGCCGACGCCCTCGCCCAGCCATCAGGCCGGCGGCGGCAAGACGACGTCGGCAGCCGCCTCGCGGCCGCCTGCAGCTGCCGGCCTCCGAAGGCGATCGTGGACCGGGCATCGTCTTCACCGCGATCGAGCCCGCTGACAGCGAGACGGACCTGGAGCGGTCGACGTCGACGTCGTCGGTGGCGGCGCCTTCGACGAGCAGCAGCCGGCGAAAGGCACGCGCGGCGTTCAGCCTGCAGCAGGTGCCGCCGCGGCTGCCGGTGCCCACCACGCCCATCCCGAGCCTGCCCGACGCCATCGCCCGGCCGTCGCATGCGCACGCGCACGCGCAGTCGCAGTCGCAGTCGCGCTCGGCCTCGCCCGCCACGCCGATGCCGCTCTCGACGAGCGCGGTCGTGACTTCGCTCTCGATCTTCCTCGACCGCAACCCCAAGTGCTACGGCGCGCTGATCGACGCGCTGCGAGACGACCAGCTGCCCAGCGGCTACACAATGTCGGCCGCCAGCCCCGACTTTGGCATCGGCGACGACCTGTCGTGCCTCTCGGCCTCATCCTCGTCCTGCTCGTCATCCTCGTCGGCCGAGGAATCGCGCCACCGCGACGCGAGAACGCGCGCGGCGACCAGGTTCCAGCTGAGCTCCGTCGACGGCGTCAAGCTCAAGAAGACGGCGACGAGGCTGGCCGAGCTGAAAAAGGAGGCCGCCTGGCTCGGATACCGCTCCGTCGTCGATATGTGCGAGGCCGAGCAGAGGAAGGGCGCCATGCGCGACCGCCCTCGTTGAGCGGCGCCGAGAGAGAACGACGAGCGGCAACCAACGAGGCTGCCTGTCTTGATGGGGCGGCCGTCGGGCCGGTCGCGATGTGCCCCTCGGCGTTGTTCCATATGCTTCCCATCCTCCCCCCAACCCCTCCTCCTTCGTCCTCGCTGATCGACCCGGGTACCTTGCTCCATGTCGGTGGCGGGTCGGTCCAATAGATACCCTCCTGATGCGACTCTCGTTCGCCATCAGCATGCTCGAAAGCGTGCCATGCATACCAACCCGTCAGGCCTCCCTGCGCCCGGCCCGCCCGCTCCTCATCCAGTTGTACACAAAGCATCCACGACTCGTCAGCGCGTCCGCTACCAGCCCACGGCGTCTGAAGCACTCGAACCGTGCTCAGCTTGCTCAAACGAGAGCAGGGCGGTGTGATGCGATGTGATGTGATGCGATGGGATGTGATGTGATGCAAGGGCAGAAGGTCTCAAGGCGGCAAGCATGCCGGTGCAATCGGATCCGAGGGCCGATCTCGGTGCCGCTGCCGTCCCTCGGTGTCAATCCTCGTCCATATCCTGCCGGGCCCGCCGAATGGCCATGGTGCAGCTCTCGTACAGCTCTAGGTTGAGCGCGGCGAGGAAGCAGGGTACGCTCTGGCGCACGCCGCTGAGCCAGTACTCGCGCAGGCTCTCGAGGTTGGCGAGGCCGTGCACCTCGACCGCCTCGCCCTGGAGCTTCATCTCGCCCACGTTGCCCTCGTCGCTCTTGAAGACGAGCGACGTGCCCCGCGACGATGACCGCGAAAACGTAGACGTCAGCTTCACCTTGCCGTTTTCCAGAAACTTGACCTTATACCCGAACAGCGACTGGATCGCTTCCCGAAACTCGTTGGCCTTGGCCGAAAAGACCTGCAGCGTCGGATGGCAGGCGAGCGAGAGGTGAGGGGGGAGGGGGAGGGGGAGGGGGGAGGGGGAGGACGGAAGGGAGATCAGAGTGAGAACGGAAGACCGAGATTCTCTATCCGCATGCCGCGCTGTTCGGGCGCAGTTCGACGACAAACGTACCTGCTTGAGCCGCAGCATGGCCTTATCCTTGGCCTTGATGCTCTCCTGCAGCCCGGCAATGTCGAGCTTAAGATTGTCGACCACCTCCTTGGGCACAAGCGCGCCATCTGCGTCGCCCGCCGCCGACGAGCCACCAGCACCTCCACCGCCGCCGCCACCGGACGCGGCGAGGGCGGCGCTGATCTCCTCGATGCGCTTGAGCAACCCCTCGTTCTCGCGCTTGAGGCTGTCGAGCGTGCTCTTGCGCAAGTCCAGGTCCCGGCTGACCGGGTTGTCGATGAGCACCAGGCACTTTTCGCGCGTCTGGTCAAACTCGCCCCGCCCGACGCGCAGGTAGAGCTTCTCGTTCTCGGCGACCAGCTCCTGCGCCTCGTTCTCCAGCTGCGCAAACGCCGCCTGCGACGCCGCCAGCTGCCGCTCCAGGCTCTGGATCTTGTCCGTCATCGAGCCCAGCGAGGACCGGAGCGCGTCGATGTCGTTGCCCTCGGCCTGAGCGTCCTGCTTGGTCTGCGTCAAGGTGAGGATCTCGCGTCGCACCGCCTCGAGGTCTTCAGCCAGGCTGCGGTTCTCGCCTTTGAGCTGCTCCGCCTCGCCCTCGAGCACCTTGATCCTCTGGGCGTTGGCGGCGTCGTACGACGCGGCGTGGTTGCGCTCCTCGGTCTCGTACGTCTCGAGCATCGCCTTGAGCCGGCTGATTTCGTCCTGCAGCCGCGCCTCGGTGCGCTCGGCGCGGGCGACGGACGTCCGCAGCGCAGCAAACTCGCTCTCGACCTTGCGCTGCTTGGCGTCGGCGTCGTTGGCCTCTTCTTCGAGCTGCGAGTTGCGGGTGCGCAGCTTGTCGAGCGCGGCAGTGAGGCTGGCGATGCGTGCCTCTAGCCCCCCAAGCGAGCCGCGCAGCGACGACAGGTACTTGGGCAGGGTGTCGCGGTCAAACGACGCCGGCACCTCGACCCTGGGCAACGGCGCATCCAGATCGGCTGTCGAAGAGGACATCGCCGCCTCGCCTTCGCCCCCGTTGAGGCCATGCTGGAGGATGTCCTGCCACTCTTGGCGATCGCGTTCGAGATCCTGGATGGTCGACTCGGCATCGGCCAGCCTGGCGCGCAACTCGTCGAGCACGCGCACCTTGGTCTCGAGCGACCGCTTTTCCTCCTTGAGCAGCTCGACGTTGCTGGCGTGGTGCTGCAACCTGCCGTTCTCGGCGATCAAATGGGCGTTCTCGGCCTCGAGCTTCCTCACGTAGGTCGTCTGTCGGCTGAGCTCCTCGGAGATCTTCTTGCCCTCCTCGCCTCCGAGACGGGCCGACTCGCGCTCCTCGATCCGGAGCCGCTTCTCGTCCTCGACGGCGTTCTCGAGGTCCTCGACCTCTGCGCGCGCTGCTCCAAACTCGTCCTTCCAGCGCGCCGCATCCGCCTTGGCCGCTTCCGCCTCTGCACGGACGTGTCCGAGCTGCGATTCGAGGGCGGTGTTCTTGGTGCGCAGCTCGAGCTCGACGCCGGACCCGTTGGCACGCGACTCGTCGGCCTCGCTGCGGAGCTCGGCGTTTTGCGAGCGGAGCTTGATGAGCTCCTCCTCTAGCGTCCTGCGGGCAGCGTTCCACTCGTGCTCCTTTTCCTTTTGCGTCTCTTGCACGCGGTCCCACTCGGCGAGCAGCTCGACGCGCTGGTTGTTGTAGCGGTCCAGCTCGCGGCACTTTGCCTCGTAGTCCTCTTCGAGCTTCTTGTACTTGCGCTCCTCGGAGAGCAGCTGCTGGTCGTAGTTTGCGCGGAGGATGGAGAGCTCGTACGAAGGCGATTCGGGGCGTGGTGTGAGGGCGGGATGGAGGTCGGCCTGGAGGAGCAAGGGCGATGTTCCGTCTGCAGAGAGTCGGCGAGTGGCGGGCCGCTTTGTGGCTGAGCCATTTTGGACGAGGTCGTCCGAGATGCCCGCTGCGGACACGGTGCGCTTGGATGCCGAGCCGCTGCCGGATGCGGTGTTGGACAGGCCGAGGCTGTTGCCTAGGCTCGCAGAGGGAGGGCCGACCCGGCTGGCGGCGGAAGTGTAGGTTCTCCTGTCGGGCGCAGCGCTCTGCGATGCCTGGCGCTGTATGGCGGAGCTGGAGACTGCCGTGCCGATGCCCGAGTAGCGCATGCGGTTTGCTGAGGGCGTGGCAGCTACTTGGGGTTGATCAGATGGTGCGGGTGCTGCGGCCGAGGATGCGAGGGGAGCTGCGCCAACCGAGGAGATCCTGGAAGCGGGTCGATGGTAGTTACCCATGGGCCCCTTTGATGCGATACCACTCGAAGATCCGGGACGCGATGGGGTCGGCTGAGGTATGGCCGAGGCACGGGATGCGGGGCGGGGTATGCCAGAAGCATCGTTGGTGGCGGACGAGGGGCGAGGGATGCCGGATGTCCGGGTGGGGATGCCAGATGACGCGCCGGTCATGGATATGCGGCGATTCGGGTCCATGGCGAGGTACGTTCGACCAAGGGCGTGCGAGCCCTGGTGTCTTGAGGCGGGGTTGGCGGAGAGACGAAAGAGGCTAGGGGTGGTGGTGGTGGTGGTGGGGTGTCGGGGCGTGTCGAAGTGTTGGGGTGTCTGTTTGTCGTCGGCGCGCGAGTCGGCGCGGGTGGCCTCCACTACAATACCGCTCTCTCGCGCGAGAGGGGCGGGCAAACCTTCTCAAATCTGGCCGTTTGAGGAGTAGCTGGTTAGCGGGCAGCTGGCGCCAGCATCCCCCGTCCAGGCGACTCTACTTTTTCCTTGCTCCTCCCATCAACCGCACCCTACGACGACGGCATCGCACCGGCACATTCACTTCCACCCCTCTCGAATAGCATAGCCACCATGAGCGACTGGGGTGCGTACAGCCCTCGCACGTCCATCTCGCCCGACTGTCCCCATCGTCTGACTCTGTCGCCCCCGTGTCTCTCTCTTTGCCTCTTTGCCCGCTCGGCCCGCCCGCAGAGAACGACGACGAGCCCGTCCCGCAGCCCGTCAAGGTCGGACCCGCCACCGGCGGCAGGAAGAAGTTCGACGACGAGGACGTCGAAGACCAGGTCAAGGTGCGCCTCGTAGAGCCTCGACGGCAAGGCAGTCGCCGGGAGAAGCGAGCTGCAGCCTCCGTCCAATCCCGCTCTCCGCCTCCGCACCCCCTTGCTGACCGTCCCTCCCCTCTGCGCGTCCATTCGACTCCACTCACTGCAGGACGACTGGGAGGAAGAGGACTCTGAGCCGGAGCAGAAGCCCGCCGTCGTGATCCCGCCCAAGAAGAAGAAGACGGTCAAGCAAAAGATTGCCGAAAAGGAGGAAGAGGAGAGGCGAAGGCTCGAAGAGGGCGGCGACGACGAGTCGGCCGAAGAGGACTGGGACGAGACGCCCGCAGACCGACGCCGGCGCGAAAAGGAGGCGCAGCTGCGCTCCGACGTCGAAAACGCCGCCACCCTGTTCGGCGCCTCGCGCATCTCGGACGACGACCCCGTGGCCAAGATCAAGTCGTCCAACCCGACGTCCAAGGAGGACTGGGAGGCCTTTTCCGACCTCATCTTTGCGGAGCTCATCAAGAAGCACGCCAGCAAGCCCGGCTTCGACAAGCACTTTGCCCCGCACCTCATCAAGAACCTCTGCTCCGCCCTCCGCGACGTCGACATCCGAAAGACGTCGACCAAGCTCAAGGAGTACGCAGAGGAAAAGGCAAAGGCCGAAAAGGAGGCAAAGAAGACCGGAGGTCAGAAGAAGGCCGCACCCAAGCCAAAGACGGTCGGCACCGCCAGCGCAAAGAACATGTGGGTCCCGACTCCGGCTCCAGCTCCGGCTCCGGCTCCGGCCCCGGCCTAACTGCGTGCACGCCCGTCACTGACCGGCAATCCGCCTCTTGACCCCTCCTCACACCTCCTTGTGCCGCCTCCGACAACAGCATCGACACAAAAGCATGTGGGTATCCTGGCTGGCACTCACCACGATCGTGAGCCAATTGCGCCCGACGCCAGCGACGGCAGCTGACCTTGCCCATTCCTCTCTTCCTCCCCCTTGTCCGACAGACGGTGACGAGGCGCTCGATGACGACCTCGACTTCATGTAAACGGTTCCCGCCCCCACCCTTTGCAACAGACGGCGTGACACTCAGAGGGCCTCAAGGTCCCTTCCGATCGCAATCGCATCCCCGTCAGGCACTCGTCCTACTTGCGGACTCGCCACCAACTGTTCGGCGCCAGCCTCGACTAGGTGACCGCGTGTGCTCCGAGCTCGGCTGACGGGCGGGACCGCTCATGGGCCCCGCTCCTGGACGCGAGAGGCGAAAAGGCGAAAAGGCGGGCGGGCGGACGGGCAGGCGGACGGGCAGGCTGAGGAGAAACGAGGGATTACTTCTATATGTGCTGGGTTTGCGACTGACTGCTGCGTGTGTGTGTGTGTGTGTGACAGGGCCGAAGCACCGACAGGCGACTCTGGGCGCGAGGAGGGTGACGGGGGGAGTAGATATTACAGGGACAACGCAAGACGGGACGAGGCGAGACGATAAGAGGTGGTGGTGATGATGGTGGTGCGGTAGCGTATAGGCGAATACAAGAGACTGCCTGGCTGGCCAGCCAGGAAAAGTGACGATGCGGCTGCGAGGAAGTCTACGCCAGGGGCGCCATGTCGACCTCGGGCGCGCCATCGCCGGGATGGTGGCGCTGCAGCGGCGGCGGCAGCACCATGCTGACGGGCGAGTTCTCGCGCGAAGCAATGGCCTGGCCGAGCGGCGGCAGCGTGGGCGCGCCCTCCCTGGCGGCGGCGTGGATGGGCGTCATGCCGAATCCGAGGCCTTTGTTCTTGTTCCTCTGGTGCGATCCGTGGCTCGGACCGATGCCGCGCGGCGAGTTGCTGGCGCTGGCGGAACCGTTGGGGATCTGCGAGTAGACGCTGTTGGGGCTCGAGTCGTTGCTGCCGCCGTGGCCGGCGCTCATGTTGAAGCTGGCGCCGTTGGAGCTCTGCCTCGAGTGCGACGTGCCGTGCAGCGGCAGCTGCTGGATCGGCTGCAGCGTCGGCGAACCGTGCGGAGAGTTTGCGCGGCTGGCGGGCGCCGAGCGAGAGCTGTTGCGGGCGTTGCGCCTGCCGTGGCCCGAGTCGCCGTAGGGGTGGAAGCTGTGGTGCAGGACGTGGTGGGCGTGGTGCGGGTGGTGCGAGCCGTCTCGCGTGGGAATGAGCCCACTGCTGAAGGGCGACGGCAACGTGCGCGACGACGGGTCCGCAACGAGGTGCGGGAGCGCGACGCGAGACGAGC